CCAAAGAGCTGTCCAAGGATGTCAGGGACAAGATTGTAGACCTGCACAAGGCTGGACTGGGCTACAAGAATCAACCTCAGCTTTTGTAGCTGAAGTCAGTCAGGGGCCTGCCCTCCCAAGCCAAGTGGGAAGAGGCCTACAAGCAAGAAGCAGGTCTTCCAGGACTCACAGACAAGATCTTACAGTTGCAGTCCTCACTCCAACTTCTTCTTCTTCTCCATGAGAAAGCAAACATTATTTGGAGCTCTCTCTTGCTGCGATGCAAGAGCAATCATGGCTCAGTGCCATTCCACCTTAGCTAGATAGAACTACAATCTTCCCTATCAACATGCATTTTCTATAATAAACATTAGATTTCATATTTTACTAAACCCAGAGTTGTTGTATGCAGTGTGGTTGTATGCAGGGATGCTCCTCCAGCTGGGATTCTGTATTCAGCTCAGTTTTGCTGAGCATTCGTCTCTAAATGCTGATGATAACCACTCAGCAAGGGCTTGCAAGGCACAAACATTGTCTCCTCTGAGGAAGCTACTCAGGAGGAAGGAAATGGCTGGAGCTCAGGAGAAGTGGGAGGGATTGCCTGAAGCTGCCACCTCATTCTTCCTAATAGTAGAACCAACCCTGTTCACAGAGTGCATATAATCGCTCACTTAGCAGGTCATCTATGTTTCCCTTCAATTGATGATAAAAGATCTTCCCACTCTCCTGCTTTCCTGGAATTCTGATTAGCCAGGTAGAATTTGCATCACAACTTGACAGGACAATATGGATGAGCAGTTTATGGATGACCAGCTTACCAAGTGGTTACAGCCGTATGGTGGTGAGTTTGCAGGACCCACCTTGTATATAGATGTAAATGACCATCTATATACAAACCCTTTCTTTCACTTCATTTTTTGCTTCACTCCTGTACCAAAAACCATTGAAATATGTATCTCCGTATTGTATTATTTCAATGAATTAGGTGATATTGTGGTAGAGATGTTTGCCTTCCTAATCTTTTGCAAATCAGGCAGTCCTTTTCCATTCCTGACTTGGCCCCAAGCATGCGTATCTTAACAAATCTCATGGTTTCATCTGGAAATATTGATGCAACTTTTGGGGGAGACCTGTAGCCTTTGCTTCTTTCCTTGGCTATCTTTATTCATGAGGCTGCAGTTTTATGGTTATTTTGTATGACCATGGGTCATGCAAATGTTTTTCAAAGCTGTCTGCTTTGGGAATATAGGTTGGGTTTAGTTTTCACTAAATTGATTCATTCCCCACCCACCCAGCCCGCCAATATTGTAAGAATATTGTAGGTTCCTTTTCCTTCTGTGGGCTCTGTAATAGTTTGTATGACATTTCAAGGTCACAAATATGCATTTGCTAATTCGTTGCATGCTGCAAACATTTTATTTTACTCTTCTGAATTTTGAATAATAGCATTCCTTCATATTGGTTCACATAGTGTTAGATTTCTATTCAGAATATGTTGTATAACACTAATTTTATCTGTAGTTCAATGCTAGAAATGGCTGGTCTCCAACACTGTTTTCATGTAAAATATATTTCTAATCCTTTAAAAAGTTTATAATCCTCTGTATGCCTATAGCCTAGGGGTGGCAACTTGATGCCTTCCAGACGTTTTGGACAATAAATCCTATCAGCCCCAGCCAGCATTGCCAGGGGTCAGGGGTCACGGGAGTATGATCACATCCACACCACTCTTGTACCACTTTAACATTCATGGCTTCTCCCAAAAAATCATGGGAACTGTAGTTCATTAAGAGTGCTGTTAGGAGTTCCCTAACAGACCTACAATCCCCAGCACTCATAATAAACAACAGTTTATCCAAGGGTTGTGTTACACGTTATTTGTCCTAGCATAGAAAGCCTACTCAAAATGTAATTTTGCACCTTGAAAATTTGACTTCAGTAAGTCTAATTGTGAGCCTCATAAAGTAGGTCAAACAGTGGGCCTGGCCATATCTAACTTGACTCAAAAGAAAATCCTCAGTGGAACTTATTTCGACCCATTCATTAGAGGGCAATCCAGTCCCAAGATCTGCAGAGATGAGCTCTTGTCTACTCTGCCTATGCAACTGCCCCAGGGTAGAGTGCTCAGGAGGCAGCGAGGCAGAGGACACCACCAGGTCTGCCTCATCCAGCCCCTACACAGTTTTAAGGTGTTTCTGAATGCTGTGATGCAACTGGCGCAGTGACTTCACCTCATTTTTGTATTATTATGCATGGCTTGCCAGTGGGAAGAGTTGCACTGGCCATATGTTACGGTTCCATAATAATTATAATAGCAACGTTTACTATTTTTACATTTATTATTCACCAGCAGGTTGCAAGATGGGATACGACATTTTAAAATTCAGTATTTAAAACAGTTAAAACAGTGTACAGTTACAGGAATAGGACCTGAAAACACACATCTCAGGCAGTGGCAAAACTACATTTGGGCCCCCCTGAAGCTTGAACAGTTATGGGGACCCCTTCACAACCAGCAATGAGGTCTGGGTAAGCACTGTTATCTTCTTCAATGGGGGTCGTTCCATGACAGGTCACCACTTTTTTTTTTTAATTAACTACTACATCTCAGATTTTGATTAAAATTGCTGTACTGGATTATCTCACATATCAAAGTCACTGGTCTGGACAAAAAAATCCTATGCCTTTTAGTTTTCGAGTTATGGAGAGAGTGAAAATTAGGGAAATGTTATATACATGCCTGAGGCACTTTATTAAGCAAACTTTTTATAGCAATGTAGACTAGAGGTGCTTCAGGGGCTCCACTGGGATTAGGGGCCCTGAAGCTTAAGCTTCATAGTAGAGCCAAAGGAATCAAAAAGGAGTCTAAAAGCTGTATATTGAAGAAACCAGACACATCTTTGTGGGGAGGGAATTCCATGACTGCCACAGAGAATGCCCTCTCTCAGGACACTTCTCCTTCACTACCAAGACATCTGCTGGTCATAACCCTGGGGAGGCTCTGCAGGGAATAACACAATCTGACTATTTTTAAAGAAATATTGGCATGTTGAATGCTAATCTGTTTTATTATATATGTGTATCATGTAATATATGGGACGCGGGTGGCGCTGTGAGTTAAACCACAGAGCCTAGGACTTGCCGATCAGAAGGTCGGTGGTTCGAATCCCCGCGATGGGGTGAGCTCCCGTTGCTCGGTCCCTGCTCCTGCCCACCTAGCAGGTCGAAAGCACGTCAAAGTGCAAGTAGATAAATAGGTACCGCTCTGGCGGGAAGGTAAACAGTGTTTCCATGTGCTGCTCTGGTTCGCCAGAAGCGGCTTAGTCATGCTGGCCACATGACCCGGAAGCTGTACACTGGCTCCCTCGGCCAACAAATCGAGATGAGCGCCGCAACCCCAGAGTCAGCCACGACTGGACCTAATGGTCAGGGGTCCCTTTACCTTTACCTATCATGTAATATTTGGAAATTAATATTTATAGTACCTTTAAAATACAGGCACAAGTAGATTTTGAAAATGTTTTTCAAATAATGTGAAATTATTTTGTGTTTCCTTGTTCCCTCAGCAACACTAGTGTGCCGGAGCCAGACAACACTGAGGCCTGCAGTTGTGCTGAGGGTTTCCAAGCTGTGTGGTTACCTTGAACTGTGGAAAAATAGTTGCTGTACATCTTCCTGAGCTGTGAAACTTCTGTGTCTAGGTCTCAGTAAATAAAACAGAACCACTTGGAGCTTTGGGAAGCTGCTAACACCACCAAATGAAACGGTCTTCTCTGTCAGCCAAATCCAAGCAGTGGCTCTGAGGTTAACTTTAGATATGCATCTGGGGGTGGCGCGGGCTACAGAGTGTTATGCATGTTCCCAGCCTCCATGACAGCTGCTTCATGAGTGAGACAAAAGCAGAACAAAAACAAACCGTTCCAAATCACTTGCTTAAAGAAAGAAGAAAACATATGTACCAGCAAATAGTTAGGACATGGTAAAAGGGCTCACTCCTACACTCTTTCCCTAGAAGTGTCAAATGTCACTGCGTTTTGTGCCTTGGAATATCAGCTAGTAAAACTGTAGCTTATTCCACTACTAAGGTTAAGGCACTCGGTACTTTCTTCATCCAAACAAATGTTATAACGGCCAGATAATATCCCATAAAAAAAAATACTAGCACTCACTGCCCTCTAGTGTTGTTATGATGGACTGTCAACACTGCAAATAACCATTTCCACTTTCACAAACTCACTTCACCAGACGCAGCTGTGCTAGCGCAACAGAGCTGTAGATACCTGGTGCATGAGCACATCCTGTCTGTAGCTACTTGGATACCTTGAATTGCAAAAGGCTTTGCAAATTAACATTAGGGATGTTGTCCCCGTGCTAGCAAGGCACCGCACCATAGTGCCAGGAGAGCACATAGATGATAAAGATCCTTCAGCTTCTTAGCCCAGTTCACTTAATGCAAGAGTTCACACTGGAGAAGCAGGAATTTAGCAATCCTCTGAATAGCAGCTGAGGAGCATCACAAGTACAGGGCGTGCTCTTGCCCCCAGTTTCTGCTTGCTGGCTTCCCATAGGCATCTGGTTGGTCACTGTGAGAACAGGATGCTGGAGTAGTTGGGCCATTGGCCTGATCCAAAAGGGCTCGTCTTATGTTCTTACTTTAGATCTAGTAGAATTGGGCAAATGAAATGTTTAGAGGCGAGAATGTCACATTGTCAAACTCTTCCTGTTCATGAAAAGGCAGCATACCAAGAAGACCACTAGGCTAGAATCCTTCTTTGAATAGCATTGCATAGGCAGCAGAGTTTGACCTCTGGTCACTTCGAAAGAGCTACCCTCCATGTAAATTTCTGAAAGTCGAACAGAAATTTCCTTACATTTTTAAAGAGAGCAGAGCTGTGCTATTTAAGATATCCATCTATATCTATCTAGCAATCATTTCCACATAAAGAAATAATGCAATCTATAAATGCTATAACAAATCACACATGTAATCACAAAAGGGAATGAATGAATGACAGTTGTTAGGCGTAGGCAAAGATAGTTTTATTGAGATCTTTATGGAAAAGGAAGAATGCTACACAGTTTCAACAATGGTTAATAGCAACACAGACTGAGATATTATTTTAGCCCATGCTTAATAGGTTACATCATGTAATTGTGATACAGCAGAGCCAGTGTTTAAGATAAAACAAGTGAGATTTAAGCAAGCTGAATTAGATTGTTAATCAAGCGAACACATGCCCCAGTTTAATTCCATATTCCTTTGCACTTCAGTGTTCTGTTTCTATGTTATTGTGTCCCACAGGTAAATATGCATTTAGTCATTTTAACTAGGGGTGCAATTCCCCCTTCCCCCAAAAAACGAAAAAACAAATGAATGAGCCCCATTAGTTTCCAAGTATCACGAGAAATGACTGAAAAATAGAAACAGATGGGACAAACAAATGAAAATCCTTTTGATTAGTTTCTCCCATTCATTAATATTACTGTGCTTTCAATCATTTCTCACAAGACACAGTTCTGAAACATCCCATTGTTTAGCAAACTGAAACATTGAGAGAACTGTGTGCAGGGAAGGGAGAAGGTACACGAAAACTGTCCAATCTGAAGAATAAAGTCTTCCATGCTGAAGACAACAAACCTTTTTAATTGCTTGTGAAATGGGGGGGGGGGGGCATTTATCCAATCTGTCCGAATCATGGCAGGGCTGACGGCCTTACTACACCTGAATATTTCATAGCATTTGGAATGGAAAACACTAAACGCTTTGGGAGACAAGCTAGGAATCCACCGTGATTAACTTAGTAAGGAAAATTGAATGAGGCTATAATGAATAGAAAATGAAATGACTGGGGCTGCCAGAAATGACAGAGAACAAAAATGTGCCTTCCTAAAGTAGCATTTACTATTTCAGAAGTTCATACTTTGCCACACCCTCCCATTTCAGTGGGGCTTACTTATGCGTAAGTGTTCACAGGATTCCACCCTTAAAGTCCAATGGATTGAGAGCTAAGCAGAGGGTTTGACTATCCCATGGACAGCAGTGAGAGTGAAAAGCAGCAACTGGATCATACACAAATTTAAATCAATATACAATAAATCCAAGTGTATGCATTGGAATGGACATTAGATCTGGATGAATTCTGAGCTATATACTGGGGAGGCTGCTTTGTACAGATTTGGGGCTTGTTTGAGCTGAAGCAGATCTCTCTAAACCACTTCTGAAACTATATAAGGAAATTAAGAGGTTCTGATAGTCTAAAAATAAAACCACCTGCAGACATTGTGTCTGCAAAAATTGAAGAATTCCATCTCCTGCTTGGAAAAAACAGATGATGCCAGCATAGGAAGGCAGGTTGGAAATCTATTTTGTGACTGGCTGGAATCATCAGTTCTCAACCTGTGGGTCCCCAGATGTTGTTGGGCTACAACTCCCATCATCCGTGAGCTCTGGCCTTGCTAGCTAGGGGTGATGGGAATTGTAGTTCAACAACATCTGGGGACCCACAGGTTGAGAAAGGCTGATTGGAGCTCTTCAATCACAGTGCTTTGAGGAAGGGATACTGAAGGAATGTACTACCTTGTTCTGTGCTCTGTTACGTGTGTAACAAACTCTCTGTCTTGCTTAACTGACTCTGGAGACATTTGCGAGATTTCATTTCACTTTTAATTTGTAAGCTGCCTTTCTGGTCACGACTGGACCTAATGGTCAGGGGTCCCTTTACCTTTATACACAAGGCAGTTTACAATATCTTGCAAGACCTTCCCAGATCATACACAAGAGCTTCCCAGAGCCATTAAATAAGCTCTCCACTGCAGGAAAACCTGGTGTGGAAAGATTTTTTTAAGCTCTCCGCCTTGCATGCATTATATCTGTGCGATTACGGCAGGCTACCAAATATGTAAAGCTGCAATTGCACAAGTTGCAAGTCAACTGTACTTCCTATTCATATACTTCTTACATGTATACTTTGAGATGCTCCAGTGATTTAACTGGGACTTGTGCTGACTGAGTATTCTATGAACCAGCTATTTGCTACATTAAATCATTGCTTATCCTCTTTGTTTGTGTTCACGCTACATGTGATAAGATAAAGAGTTAAGAGGTATTTAACACACTCTCTGGACGAGAACATCTCTCTTTACATTATGCAAACTTCACTAGTATTATTATAACCATGCAACTGGAGAAGAGGCCCTGTCCTTAGCAATAGCTGAGGCAGAAATATATAGACATGAAGTATAACAACATTCAAACAGAGTTTTCGCTACAGCCAGAGGTAGCTAGTGAAGTGGTTTTCTGGCAGGAACCAGCAGCCTCTGATAAGTAGGAAGGGATAGCCAGTTTTCAAACATAGCCATCAGAAGGCAGCCAGGAGGGAAGGGAGTATTTTAGACAACGAAGTGCAAGGAAGTATGCTTGAGTAGTGCTAAGCTCACTCTTAGCAAAAGCCATCACAGAGAAACCGTGAGGTAGGGATAGCATCCTACAGGCAAGTAATGGATCCAAACTACAAGAAAGAAGATTCCACCTAAACATTAGGAAGAACTTCCTGACAGTAAGAGCTGTTCGACAGTGGAATTTGCTGCCAAGGAGTGTGGTGGAGTCTCCTTCTTTGGAGGTCTTTAAGCAGAGGCTTGACAACCATATGTCAGGAGTGCTCTGATGGTGTTTCCTGCTTGGCAGGGGGTTGGACTCGATGGCCCTTGTGGTCTCTTCCAACTCTATGATTCTATGATTCTAAGTAGTTGCTGACTAGTTAGGATGATTAAAACAGAGAAGACTACGGGGTCTGCTAGTCAGCAACTATACATTTGCATAGTGCTGCCCAGGATACCCTCACTGCTACATCTGGATGGTTTGGGTAAAGGGCAAACTTTCATCTCCTCTCTTCCTTGCCTCACATGTGGTGAATGATTCCTGCCTGAAAGCCACCTCCCTCAGCTGCTGCTGGGGGCAGCCCTAGATCTCGGGAGGTTTGCATTTCACTGCCTTTAATACTGTATCCCATTTACTGTTTTTATGCTCCAATTGCTTCTTCCTAAATTTGTGCTGGAATAGATCGTTTGTGTCTTCATCCTCAGCCTCAGATATGATTTCCATTTTTTGAACAACCAGTTTAAGGAGGTCATGCTGTTTCTCCATAAGTGCTGCAATATCTTTAAGCCTAAAACACAAAAAGACATATATCAGGATGCAGAACTCTTCATAACATTAAATACAAAAAAAACACTTTAAATATACTTCATTCATCTCTTGAAAAGGAAAAAATAATAATACTTAAACCGTACTTATACTACTTTAGGCTATGCTATTTCTATATTTTAGGCTATTTTAATTTAATTCTGATCCAGAGAACTGCATCAATCCACAGTGAAAAAACAGAAAGGGAAATATCTGCAGGCAAAAGGATTAACTATTTAGTAGTATGAACAATGCATTTCAATACTGATGATCTTTCTCAAGGGCATTTTGCTACTCCTTTCATAGGATGCAGAGTATATTTTTTCATTTGTTTTATGTCTTAATTTTTAACCAGGACAGTGGTTGTTTTAACTCTGTGCTTCCAAAGCTGTATTAAAGCATGAACTATGGAAGGCATGGAAAATTCCTTGTTTTTCACCCCTCTCCTTAGCCATTTTTAGATGTCCTGTAGGCCAAAAAGTGGAAATGGTGCAAGCTGTATACTCTTCAGCCAAGAATGTGGGTTGGTGGTGGTGGGGAGTAACATAACAGCTATAATAATAATAAACAACTTTTAATGTGGCCTGCCAAACTTTGCTTTTTCTTTGGGGCATGATTCTGAGAAAGATGTGTTTAAAACTCTGCAGTAGCTTGCTATCTTCATCCTGGTAAATAAGGCTTACAATGAGATGTAGATTCTGGACAAGTAATTCTATAATGGCTGCAAGTAGACCATAACACCATAACACTGGCATTAACTAAAACCTGACTACGTTTTTTCTTTGTACAAACATTTAGAAAGCAGAAGAAACACCCAATAAAAAATACCTGTACTTCTGTTTCAATACTTCTAGTTCCAAAGATGTGTCAGCATCCTGCGTATTTGCTGCTATATCATTACAGCCAAAGCAATATTGAAACACACTCTGCAAAAACAAAAAACAAAAATTCATAGAATTTGTTCACATTATGAAACCAAGAAGATTTGCAGTTTCAGAGTGAGAAAATATGTATTTTGGTGGCATCACCAAGAATTAGGAGTTTTCCCAGAGAGACTGAGTTCAGTTTTCTGTATTAATTTGAGTAGGGAAAGACATATTAAATTAAGCAATCAACTTTCACCCCCCTTCTCTTGTGTGTATATGTTTGGATGAACGCATAGGAATCAGAATACACTTTAGAAGGAATTATTCATCCATCTTACCATAAATCCACAATATCTTGGCCTATTAGGATACACAGTGATCGAATCCTGGTCAACTCTGCTGAGAAACCAGTATGGCAGTTTCTTCTCCAAATTTGTGTGAAGACTGACCTAAACAAAATGACCACATTTAACATGAATTAGCTCAGAATAAACCAAGGTATTTCTCAACTCTAATTCAATGCTAGCCCAAGGGAAAGTTTCACCCATTGCAATGAATATAATAGCCAGAATGTCTGTCACAAACCTGCATTGCTATTCTTTTCAGTGCTGCAAATTTCTGTACCTCTGCAATGTCACCAACAGCCAAGCCAATCTATAAAACGCAAAGCAGAGTTAACAAGGCCATTTTGATTCCCATGCTTTTCCTGCGTTTCCATTCTGTTCCACATTAACATTATTTCTGAGAAGAAATAAATTATTCCCAAATGTATAAGGAATTAGGTTTTCAAAATTAAAAGTAACCTTACAGTATACTATAGCTGTCAACTTTTCCCTTTTCTTGCGAGGAATCCTATTAGTAATAAGGCAATTTCCCTTAAAAAAGGGAAAAGGTTGACAGCTATGCAGTATACCACTGGATGTAATTATGTTGCAGTGAAACAAAGCATTTGCTCGCATCCAGATTTAGGAAGCATTTTCGCATAATACCACAGCTTTATCTGGTGGCATTCACAGTTTTATTTATTTTATTTTGTAAAATTTCTACACCGCATGATTGTAAAAACAGAAAAACTGCTCAAAGCAGTTGTCAGAAAAGATAAAACAAAATCAGTAGGAAGAATTAATGACAATAATTTAAGACTTTCAAAAAGTTAAAATGGGAGGGATGTTTTCAATGTATTTTCAATGTATTTTCTCTCTCTTTGTTGTGATGTATACAGGGTTGTTTTGGGGTTTTTTTAAAAACCACTTAATTTATTTACTTCCATATTACATCATATTGCAAATAAAACAAAGTCTTCACCATGTCAGCCCCATCCCAACATATATTTATCATTTACATCCTCAATCAAATATCATTTTATTTTGTCCCTTCCCCCCTCGATTTCCTCTACATTTTGAAAATACATTTATCTTAGCATTCTACATACTTCTTGATTCATCTATATATTCTTATTGTCCTTCCTTGCTAACTTGCATTAATTTAAATACTTTGCATTTTTAATCTAGGCATATTAGCATATCTTTTTTTGAGCAATATTTTTCCATATATTCATCGAAGCATTTCCACTCCTTTTTAAATTTTTGATTCAATTGATTTCTTATCACAGCTGTTAACTTTGCCAAAGCTAAGTATTCATTTAACTTACAAATCCATTCCTCCCTTGAAGGTAGAGTTTGTGATTTCCATTTAGCCACAATCACTACTCTAGCTGCTGTACTTGCATATAAGAAGATTCCCCACCCCACCCCATGGTATCTCTTCCCCTATCAATCGAAGAAGATATATCTTTGGTTTTTTAATTATTGATATTTTCAACATCTTCTTCAATTCTTCATGTATTACTTGTATTACTGTCCAGAATTTCTTAATTTCCTTACACCTCCACCACATATGTATTGTTGTTCCTATTTCTTTGCCACATTTCCAACAGAGATTGGATTTCAATTTATACATCTTTGCCAACTTAAATGGTGTTAAATACCACCTATGGAACATCTTGATAACATTTTATTTAATTGTATATGAGGCGGTAAATCGATTATCTTCTTGTCAGAGTTTCTCCCGTTGCTCTAGATAAATAGTATGTCTGACATCTTGGGCCCATTTGATCATCGTTTCTTTCACTTCTTCATCCATCAATTCCCAGTCCAGTAAGAGATGATACGTTTTAGATAGGAATTTCTTATTGTTTTGAATTATTATAATATTACATTTTTAATCCTCTTTTGCAAAGCCTTTCTTTTGATCAGAATTAATGTATACGGAGTTTTGGGTTTGTTTGTGCTTTGGTTGTGATTCGCTTTGAATTGCCTTTCGCAAAAATAAAGCGACCAATACAATAAATAAATAAATAAAGTAGCAATAAACTAAAAACAGATGAAAACTAGTATCAACTTTCTAAATATCTGTGCAGACTTCTCTAAAGAAAAGTGTTTCTAGCAGGTGCTGAAAAAATTACAGTGACAATTAGCCTGACCTGGTACAAGTCAGCCTCCTCTGAGGCAGTAAATGCAAGACTGTGAATTTGTCTGCCCACATCAAGCCAAAATGCAAAAATGGTCAATGCTGCTATCTACTCCATCTGTAATATTTTCTGAAAGAAAATTTATCCCTGTCTCTCACATACAAGTTAGAGAGATAGACAGACAGACAGATATGCAAGCAGTTTGGCTATAACACCAGCTTCCATATTTAACACATTTAATTCTTACCAACAAGTTCATAAGAAGGATTGGTATAAGGAGAGAGAAGATAACAAGCATTGCAAAACTCAGGAATGGATATGGCAGATGATCGGAAAGCATTGGCTCAAGGAAAGCTTCACGATAATTGATATCTCCTAGCATCATGGCAAATGTCTGCATTACAGAAAGATATGGAGTGCCATATGTTTCCTACAAAGAAATTTTAAAAAGGAGAAAAAGGAGACATAAAATACATGTGAAATAGCTTTAAGATCAAACTTTTTTTTTCCAAAGAGAGGAAATCCATAAAGCAACTAAACAACAATCACTTTTAACAGAAGAGTGCAAAAAATCATTTTCAGTGTTTGGAATACAAGTTCCATCCAGCAGTACATCTCATTTATTATGTTTCATTGTGTTTTTAATATTTATTTGGGAGCTGCCCCAGAGTGGCAACCCAGTCAGATGGGTATAAATTATTGTTGTTGTTCAAGTGCCTGAAATAATAAAGGCATCAACCTGATGGCCATTAGTCCCAGAATTTATGACTGTCCAGCGCAAAACACACAGAAGAGTTTTCATAATATTATGCATTGTTGCTAAAAACTTTTTTTGTAAATAAATGTAATTTCTATTTCTAATAAACAAAGTATTACACAAAGGTGACATTTCTAACCTGTGAACCGAGAAGAACATGGAAGCTGAGCCCAAAGGCTAACATCAAGAAGAAGAAGACAATGATGATCCGGATCAACGTCCTCAAAATTTCCCAAAACATCACAACATATATTCCATAATTCTCAAATCTAGGAAGATATATATGGGAAAAAACCATAATTAACAATCTTCTTATATATATATAAAAAACCCAGCTATATGTATAGCATCAACAAACAGTAGTACCTCGGGTTACATACGCTTCAGGTTACATACGCTTCAGGTTACAGACTCCGCTAACCCAGAAATAGTACCTCAGGTTAAGAACTTTGCTTCAGGATAAGAACAGAATTGTGCTTCGGCAGTGCGGCAGCAGCGGGAAGGCCCCATTAGCTAAAGTGGTGCTTTAGGTTAAGAACAGTTTCACGTTAAGAATGGACCTCCGGAACGAATTAAGTGCGTAACCTGAGGTACCACTGTATTATGCTTCTGTGAAGGAAGCTGACAAACTGTCACTGATAATTGGCCCAATCTAGTAGTTAAGATCTAGGCCTCCATATATGGTTTCCATAGTGGTTGAGTCCTTCAGTAACAATAGCATTTTTTAACCTAGGTGACTCTACCTCTCCATCAGGGTTAAGGGTCCCTGTGACCCTCCAGCTGATGTCAGACTTCAGTTCCCAACATCTTGACTCATTGACCTTGCTGACTGATACCATGTGAGATGAGGTAGCTCCCTCATCCCTGGTTCCCAGTCAACTCTAGCCATATACATTGTCGCAGAGTGAGCACTGTAGTTTACCTTTGCAGATATAGCAAGAAATTCATCCAAGACAAGAATATAGCAATTGCACCACACTCCCACTGCAAACGAACTGGAAGTTGAATAAATAAAGATGATACAAAAATGATGTTTGTAGTATAAATTGTCCAGTCGAGGAGATTCGAATAATCCAAGAGATACTTAAGTTTCTAGAGTATAAAAGACAAAAATAGGTGTTAACACTGTCAAAAATGAATTAAAACAGATGTCACCTCATGTTCTCTCTGTGTCGTGAAGGAGGATTTTCTTTCCAAAAGGCAGAACTTTGTTTTAACTGCACATTAAAAAACACTTCAAGAAATGAGAAAGGAAGGCCACGTGTGTATATATTTGCACCTCGAGGCCCCCAGGACCCACCCCCGAAAATATCTTCACTCAGACACATATTTTAGTTTTACGTTTTGGGGCAAATTTTGGCCACAACTTTATTGAATTACAATCACATGAGCGGTATTGGCTTAGGCATTGACTCCTGACCATAACTGACTCCACCTCTCTGGGTTGCAGTCCAATGAGGGAGCAAATGAACCAAATGAGGGAGCAACATCAATGCGGACCAACCGAAGCTCACCCCGGGGATCCTGTGGTCCTGGCATGGCCCTAGCCCCTCAAGCGGGCTTCGGACGAGATCCAGGACCCCCAGCTTCCTTTAACGGAATACCCAGTTCCTGGAGGGGTAGGTGATGGCTGCACCTCTCCTCCCCACAATCCAACTGAGCCGATGCCTAACTGCCACCTTACAAGTTGTGATGATTGCTAAGGGGTAGGCAAAAACCAAGTGGCTAGAGCAAATTTGCGGAAAAAATTCCTACCCAGCCCCTGTTCCAAAACAGGCGACCCAAACCAAAGCAAGGCCAGACGAAACTACCTAGGGAGGGAGGGCAGGTGTTTGGCAGCACGACGCAAGTGCCCCTACCTGCGTCACGCTGCCGCCTTTTAAAGCCCCTGGGATCATGCCACCCTCTGGGGATTGGCTAAAACAGCCTGGTGTGATCCAGGGGCTATGGCCAGGGCTTTAGCTACTCCCCCCACCAATTAACCTCTATGGGTGAAGTCCCAGGGCCCGCGCGCTACCAGGACCCTCTAATAGGAGGATCCCATATATACGTACCTGTTGGAAGAGCTGTATTATTTCTTTGCAGATCCCAAATAAGCTCATGATAAAAACTAAACACATGCACACTTTTGTGAAGTATGAACTCTGAAATAGAAAAAAGAAATATTGTAAATGGGGAGACATCTGTTTTCTTTAATATTATTTTCGTCGCAAGGGGCGCTGTCCACCACCTCCACACAGAGTAGCTACTCTGTTTTCAAAAGTTTGCAGTCACTCCCAGCATTACTGCCATGGCAAAAGATACAGCCACTGTCCCAATGCAACAAATTAAAATGATACCTTATTCTCAAAAGGCCCTGCTTTAACAGTTCTGTTGGAAGACCCCTCTGGTTCTATGTGGATGATCAGGAGCGTTAGAGGCATTAAGCCAAGACAATACACAGCTAGATTCATGAGATGTGCTCGAAACCCATAGGCCATCCTGTAAAGCAAAATTTAATTCGGTATATAGACGGTGACCATTTCGCACAGGAGTTCCTTTCCCTCCCCCCCCCCCGCACATTTTTTGAGTGTGTATAATCCAAATGGACCCACGCATCAGTGATTGCGCATCAGTTGGACGCGCCTAAAATGGTCACCATGCGTATTTTTGTAGTATTATCAAAGGTCAATATTTTCTATGCCACTGGGGAAAAGAATAAAAAGGATTCCGCCCCCCCTTCCCCCGCCCTGGTAAAACTCAACAGCAAGGATTAGACGTCTCTGCCAGCTTGAAAGCAGCTTTCATTTTCCCTTAAATTAATGGAATATGCATAAATACAATTCATGTACATGATATTTGCGGGAAGCTTGATATACTGGTTATACAGCTCCTATAAATCCCATGTCCATGCACTGGAAATCTCAGTGGAGATTTCTCTCTGCCAATGAACCTTAATAAGAACAAAATTAGTGGAACAGTGGGATCCTAGTAATACAAATACCTACCATTTCATGAGTAAATATTCTGTACAGACAGGATGGCTGAGAAGTTCAACACGATTATGACGGACCATGGCCTGGGGTGGGGGGAGATGAAGATTGTCCATTTATGCAATTAAATATTTTCAAGCTAATATTATAACTGAAAGCTATCTCTTAACAGCTTCATAGGTTCAGGGGAAACATATATGTGTGTGCACAAACACACACACACATCTTTAAACATTACAGTGTGGTATCTTTATTTTAAAAATGTGAAAAATATTTAAGAGTTGAAAATTACCAGTTTATACTCCAGGAAGAGAAAATACTGATGGAAGCCTCACATTCTCCAAAGAGTCAATTAAAACATCATTCAAATCATGTTTATCCTGATGCAGACAGTCAGGATAAATATCAAACCGAATGTCTTAAATGATATGTTATTAATTAAGAAAATGTTGCTTCAAACAAATTGAGATAGAACCAAGAGTGGCTTTGCTCTAGAGGAAAGCGCTTCCACATGTGCTTAGTGGAACACCCAATTTTTGCTAATGCACCCATTGAAGTCCTCCATGTCCCTCCAAAAGCTACTCCTGAGGGTTGCAGGACTCTCTTGAATTGTCTGGGATATAACACAGAGGGTTGCTGTAGGCTGGAGGGAGTCATAAAAAGTGGGTGTTGCTTGGGTGACTGGCAACAACTCGGCCACTTAAGAAATTGGAAAAAATAGTTTATAAATGTATTAAAATAAATATAATATAGAGTAAACAAAACAAAATAAAGTAGTAGATTTGAAATCACATTAGCATAGCTTACATTAAGAGTGATAAGTGGCTCATACACAATATCATCATCTTCTTTTAATTTCTTGGTAAGCTTCAGTGGGCACTGAAGATATCTGAAGTTATATTCAACCTATACAAGTATGAAGCAAGATCATCTCAGCTTAACTTTCAACAACAAAGAACAGTATATTCCTTTATGCCTTTGAAGCAAACCATGAAAAGGTGCAAGCACTGTCTACTAAAATTTGAATATTCTCTAAAATATACACTCAAATTTGAGTTCTTATGAGCCAATATGGTTATATCTTTGTTTAGCATATGAAAACAGTGCATTACTAGACACAAATAAACTCATGATAAAAACTAAACACATACACACTTTTGTACTTTCAGGAAGTATGAATCCTGAAATGGAAAAAGAAATAAAAAAAGAAATATTGTAAGCGGTGAGGCATCTATTTTCTTTAATATTATTTTAGTTGCAAGGGGCGCTGTCCAACATCCCAACACAAAGTAGCTACTCTGTTTTCAAGAGCTTGTAGTTGCTCCCAGCGTTACTGCCATAGCGAAAGATGTACATCCGCTGTGCAATGCAACAAATTAAAATTATACCTTATTCTCAAAAGGCCCTGCTTTAACAGTTCTGTTGGAAGACCCCTCTGCCTCTATGAGGACGACCAGGAGCATTAGAGAATACAAGCCAAGACAATACACAGCTAGATTTATAAGATGATAATCCCGTATTACAATACAAAGCCAGGAATCATGACTTGTCTCTCAATGCATCAAATGCTTTAGCAACTCTAAAATGTCTCCATTTTTTTTTTAACGGTGCTTTTAACTTACACAGAAGTCTTTGGATGCCTTGTCATCTGATGATTCAGTGATGCAATTGTCTAAAACTAACTTGTAGAGACCAAGAGGAGAAGAAAAAAGAAGCATTTCAGTGCTTTGTGACAACACTTGAACACATTTAATAATCAAAGTGTTATGCAACCATAAAGCAGATTTTCCAAGCTCAGATAAAAATAATTTTTTTCTTCAAAAGTGTAGGACAGCAATTCCAAATGACACAATGAGTCACTCAGATGCTACAATATAGACAAGAACTGAAATAGCTCACAAAAATTAAAAGTGCAATTAATATTTTCAGTTCAAAACCCCCAAATTCAAATGCACACCCAAGCTAAAGTTTCAGGCTCTATGAAAAAGAATCATGTAGTAAACTATTCCAAAACCTCCCTTTTCAGGCACAGCCCTTCACACCCCAGAATAAGTCACAACTGCGAGATTTGCCAGCTTCTGCAGACTCTTCATTATTGATTGATATGCATTTATTACATTCAGCTGAGAAATGTGCAATATACTGTGGTTTTCATGTATTGTTGTGACTTTTTATTACCTTCCCATGCTGGTTTTATTCATTGACTGCTACCCACATTGCATGCATTTTGGATTTAATTATTATTTCAGTTAATCACTATAGACATTCTGATTCCAACTGATACATTACAGATGGTCAAAGGTTTAGTTTTACTTTACTCACACAAGGCTCTAAGACAAGGTATAAAACAGATTCTTTTACATGTGAGCCAAACCTATGTTTTTTTAATCCCAAGTTAAATTGTTCAGTATATAATCTTACTTTCAAACATTCAGGAAGATATTCAACCATCTCTATTAGAGGACATTTATTTGTACTTGAATGGTGAGAAAATGCTACAACAGTCTCTTCCCATCTGAAAAAAACCAAGTTGAGTGGGCTTAGAATATTTTTGTCATAGAATATTATAAATCAAATCAAATTAAATTAAAAAGTTATAGATAATTTGAAGGAAATTAGGAAAGCATTTGTTAAATATTTCATGGATTTATACAGGAAAGGAAAGGGGGGGAAATAGAAATAGGTAAGTATTTGAAAGAGAGTAACCTACAAAAAATCAGAGAGGAGAAATTAATAGATCTAAATACATCAACAACATCTCAGGAAGTGGCAGAGGCAATTAAACAGGCAAAAGCAGGGAAATCACTGGGTGAACAATGGGAGCTCACCCAGTTGCGGGGATTCAAACCGCCGACCTTCTGATTGGCAAGCCCTAGGCTCTGTGGTTTAGACCACAGCGCCACCCGCGTCCCCTAGAATTTGCTGTAGGAACAGATAAATTATTAAAGGGGGAGCTCCCCCCAATCAGGATTGGCCTCACAGACAAAAAAAATGTTCCCCCTCCTGTCTCACAGAGAGAAGTGTGGAGAAAGATATTCAAAATTCTTCTCTAACCAGCTACTTTTTCCAATGATAACGTTTAAGAGAAAGAGCAGTACAAATTCATGGGGGAAAGCAAATGTGAATGGTACAGAAATCAAACTGTTAAAATTGTATGGTAGACACAAAGTGTGAAAAATAATAGATCTCTATGCTAGATATTATATATTGCTGGGTATCAGGTGCTTCTTACCTTTTATGTAAGATGACAGTGTTTACGACATCTTTCCGCCCATTGTGTATGGCTTCGTGAATAAAAGAAGCCTCATTTTTGTTCAAGAGTACTTTGGCACTGTCATCAAGAAGCAGTCTAACGGCTTTGGCATGGCCTTCTCTGGCAGCAAGATGGAGGGCCGTGTTCTTTTCCACAAGGATAAAATATCAAATACCATGTCATTAGAATATGAACTAACTGAAACAGTTACATATTTATTTCCCATTTACGATGTCCCCGTCCCGCAGTGTGAGGGTTGCTTAACCTTTCCCCAACCCACCACATGTTTTGCCTAATTAGTAAATAATGTGCATATTGTGCAGGTTAGTCAGCCAAGATTTGGGGAACTGGAATATGGCAGCCCTTCTGCATGCCAAGTAGTACAATGGGGATACTCCATAATACTTTTATTATATATTGCTAAAGATTGCGCAAGACTTACCCCTTCTTCATCCACTTTATCTGTGCACTTCACATTAGTATTCAAAATGATCTGCATTGTGCGAGTATACCCTCCAAATGCAGCATGGTGCAAAGCTGTCCAGCCTTTATAATCACTTCGAAAAACAGATTGAAATAAATCAGAACAAGGTATTGTCATATTATTACATACTGTGCTTTACTATAATTTTTGGTCTACATTCAGGCTGTTACATGGATCTGGAAAAAGCAAAACCATAACTACACAGATATATAAGTGGTTTGTGTAAAAATACATGGCACTGTGATTTCCCACTGCAATATTAATATTTTGTATAGTGTACAGTGGTACCTCGGGTTACATACGCTTCAGGTTACATACGCTTCAGGTTACAGACTCCACTAACCCAGAAATAGTACCTCGGGTTAAGAACTTTGCTTCAGGATGAGAACAGAAATCGTGCTCCGGCGGTGCAGCGGCAGCGGGAGGCCCCATTAGCTAAAGTGGTGCTTCAGGTTAAGAACAGTTTCAGGTTAAGAACAGACCTCCGGAACGAATTAAGTACTTAACTCGAGGTACCACTGTATTTAAAATTGAAGAATAACTAGTATCATGAACATGAATACAGCCCTGATCAATCAAGGTGGCACTCTGACAGACCTGGCCATTTATGTGAGGACAGAGGTGACAAATTCAAGTCCCTCTTTCACATCACCAAAAAGGTGACCAGAACTGACAGCACTGGCTTTATGGACTGGCAATTATAGCATGCCAAGCTAGATTTAACAGCTGCTGGAAATACGTGAAATTTCATCTCATCTCTGTTGCATGACACCTGTCAAAATCCCTGGAGAGCCGCTGTCAATCAGTGTAAACAACACTGAGTTAAGTGAATCAATGGTGTAGGGGAATCAATGGTATAGGGGACAGTTTCCTATATTCCTATGTATGCGTCCAGTAGCTACCCAGAGACACTGCTCAGTTATTGGTCACACAGTTATCTTTGCATCTTTGTCAATGAATTAAACACAAAATATATCACTTTCTTGAACAGGGTTCTTTTCTTGATAACTCAAATTATTCTAAGGCTATGTACATCTAATATATGCAAGTTACATTTCTATTGTTAACTTGAACGTGGGGGGGGGGGGGGGGAGAGAGAGAAAACAAAAAACTTACCAGAGAAAGAGGGCACCTTTCTTCAAGAGAAACTGCACTACCTTCTCATGACCATTCTGAGCAGCCAAGTGCAGAGGAGTCATCCCTTTCTTATCTCCTTCGTTCAAGAGCCTGGTATCTACCATATCACGGAGGAGTCGTTGACAGGTGTTGATACGCCCATAGCTACATATAAAAACAAAAAAACCCCCCAAAACTTTTGTTGCATATACTCATGATGACATCAGGAATGTGAAACAGCCAATTAGGGAGGACATAGGCTTACCTAGCTGCAAAATGCAAAGGAGATTTCTTATCTCGGCTTTTAGAACAGATGGAAACGTTCAGTTCAAGGAGGCTGTTCACTGAAAGGGGAACCCCCTGCCTGCATGCATAATGTAGAGGAGTGCACCCTTCGTTATCTTCATCCGTTATGAGATCTTTAATATGCTTCATCTGCTACATACAAAGAGTACAGCACATTAACAGCACCTTATGGAATCTGTCTTTTTGCAAAACCCATTTTGTATTTAAGTCCTCACTGAATTTTCACTAAAGAAACATGATAAGACAAATCAGGCAACAGAATCAGAATTAAAAAAAGAAATACTTGCTTCTATCAAATTGCAATTATTATTATTTTAATGAGAGAATGTTATGCTTTGGGGGAGATATCTGGGAACCTTTATTAAAGAGACGGAATGGCAGAAAATCTATGAGCCAAAAAAGTCTTTCTCACTTGAAGGAGACTCAATCCAAGATTCTGTTCAGATGGTATATGGCTCCTCAAAGAATCAAGTGAATGTGATTAGTGGCTGGAAATGTAGTGGAATGTATTATAACACATTTTCATTGAACATTTTGGAGGGTTTTAGACTGAAATATTCACAGTGTACAGGGCTCTTACCCATAGGCGCTAGGGGTTTTGGGCACCCAGGCGCCGGGCTCTCAGGGGTGCCAGGCCGAGAGTCTGGGGCCCAAGAGTTGAGTCTGGGGAAGAGCCCACCGTCAGTCGGAGCGCCACAATGGACTCTTCTGCTGCAGGCAGCTCTGCCCTGCGGGTTTGGGGGCGACCGAGCAAGCAAGACGCTGAGGCAGCTGGCCGGCTCTGCCCTCCTGCACGCCTGGGACTGGACAACCTGGGGGGGTGCCGGGCAGATCTTTGCACCCCGGTGCTGCATATGCTTAAGACAGCCCTGGCAGTGTACATCTTAGAAGGCAATGAATTGGGTCAATAAGTAGTTAAGGCAGTTGATACTCCATAAACACAATAGCTTTCCATAAGGTATCCTTATATTCTTTGTTACTGTAGACAAGGGCTGCATTCACATGGAAGTATATTCCATTTTCCAACATTAACTATTAATTTCCACATTATATTTGAGCTTTTATAAAATGTAAAAGCTTCTTCTGAAAATACAACAGAATATAGCACAAGTTTAGCACTCATTTCTGTGTTCCAGAAAAAATCTCTTTGCAAATAAGATGAAAATGAGTGCTAAACCTGAGCTACATTCCACTATATTTCTGGAAGTGGCTTTTACATTTTATAAAAGCTCAAATAAAATGCAGAAATAACCATCAGGAAAATGGCATAAATTGCTGTGTGAATGTAGCCACAAAGTGCACTTCCACTTTGAACTTAAATATGTTTCCTAGTATATGTATGCTGAATATTTTAATGCCCCAGCTGAGGTGTTGGTGAAAGGTATGCAATTATAAATATGTCAATTAAAGAAAAAATAAAAAGTTATATTTTACCTCTAATCCTCTGTATTTCTTTCTCTTTCTAAAATGTGAATGCATTTGTGCAATGTTTTGTGGCACCAGATGTATGCAATATTTCATAGAATGAAATATTTAAACAGCTATGTTGTATACTATGAGCAAAATGCAAATGTAAACAACTTTTATAAGCAAATTCTGAAGAAAATGAGAGTAATATTTCTCAAACACTATGAATTAGTGCATGAATCTAACATACATAAGCAGATGTTTCTTGTACCTTCAAAAACTGTTCATTCAGGTGTTTTAATCCTCCAGGATGTAGTACTGTTAGATGCAAAAAATTACGACCAAGATGATCTTTTAATTCTACATTTGCTCCTAAATAAACAAAGAAAATTAGCAGAGATTTCAAAGCTGATGACCTCTAATAGGCATGTTCTCATTTAATAACATTGTTCATATTGCATATTTTTTTCTTATCTTGTACCTTTTGATAGTAATAAATTCACAATTTTCCATGATGCACAATAAGTAGCAAGTAGTAGTGGAGTTCGACCTTCAACGTCAACACTATCGATCTTTGCTCCCTGCAATTAAAATTCCATTAAACTGTATGAATGGTTGTAGGTAATTAAATTGGAAGCCTACTATAGATGCGTTTTTGCTTTGAAAAGCTGTAGCCTATTTTCCTCTTAAATCAAGTGAGCTTCTAAAATACATATTAAGCCAATACTTAACTAAAACATCACAAAATAGCCCACAAACAGTCAAGTCTTCCAGAACTCTTATTCAAGCTAGATAGTAAACAAGTGAGGGAGGCAAAAAACAAAAAACTTGGCTGGTTGTAACACCCTAAGTATGCATCTGATCAGAGCCTTTAGGCAGAATGTGGGTGGAGGTGGCAGACATTCAGATGAGAATTTTTTAGGTATATGCAGGTATCAGATTGCACAAAGGTCTGCTAGGAAAGAGAAACATAAGCAACAGCTGATTCTCCACCTCTGGATTTACAAAAAACAGCTGTTATTCAGGTCTGTCTCCATCTCATGACTGACAGCTGCAGCTTCCAACCAAAGAAGGGATTTACTAGGGCTGTCCAATCAAAAATGTTTTGGGAATGGATATTCAAGTAAAATCAGAACTTGTTGTCCAATACTCTTTTGCAGATTGACTCTTCCAGGACCAGCAAAATTAACAGATCTGTGAACGTGGTTATGTTTTGCTTATATGACCTTCTTATTCTAATCTGGACCAGCCTTTTCTAAAATCTAATTCCCTTGGACCCCTTTTCTTTTTTATTCTTTTTGTTTGTGTCTGTATTTCATGATTAGCTCTTTCCTTTCATCCCATCACACCCTAGCCCTAGTTACATTTGATTTAAGTTTGGTGTTAAATATTTGTAGGTGTGTATATCCCTGAGCAACAGTATAGTATCTGTTTGACTCTGTACTTTGTGTTATGCACAGAAATATACACAGCTCTACATCAGGATACACTTTCAAACTTCAGTAATGTCATCCATTTTGACAAGGATGAAACAAAAACACGGCAAAGTCCCTGTCGCCAAAGGCAGTTTTTGGAAGGAAAGGCAAAAGCAAAGGCGGTTTGAAACGGTGACTAGAAAACAAAGAAACAAAACCCAGACCTATTTATCTGATAGGATGCTAGGCTTACAATTTTCATCCAATACAGTGCTACCTTGGTTTGCACATGTCTTGGCTTGTATAAGTTTTGGATTACAAACACAACAAACCTGGAAGTGCGTGTCCCGGTTTGCAACCTTTTTTTTGGATTACAACCCATTTTTGGGGGGTGGATTATGAACAAAAAAAATTTGGAGGCCCCATTGGCGAAAGCACGCCTTGGGTTACAACCTGTTTTGGTTTACAAACGGACCTCCAGAATGGATTATGGTTGTAAACCAAGGTACCACTGTATTGATGGTGATGATGACGATGATAGCAACAACAATTTATAGGCAGTTCCTTTCACTGGATCCCACCGATTCTGACACTGTAATTTCCAAGCATATATTACATAGTATCAAAGTTACTTCTACACATATAGCTGCCCCACCCTCCGTATCCATTTGTACTTGCTAAACAGGAAATTAATTTTTTTAAGTATGTATTTCATGCATGTTACTATGCAACCTGATAGTAAAGTTAGCACAGACCTTTATTACCATTATAAACTCAATTAAAATTAAATATTTACCATTGATATCAGATATTCTGCCAAGTCATAGTGATCAAACAATGCAGCCCTATAGGAATAATGAAAAGCAAACCAAGTTGTTAAAATAAAAACATAATGGTATTAAGTATAAAGCATTATGATTTTCTTTGACAGTCTGAAATAGCTGCCTGTTGCAGACTTGGCCATTATTAGAGGTTTCCCATGTGCACATGTTGTGGTATTTCCCTGTTCTTGTTCATGGCGGCGACAAGGAAATCCCCTTATTGGAGATCTCCCTTCAAAAACTGAAAACATCCTGCATACAAAATGCTTTGGATCATGCTCATTGATTGAAATGCACCAAGTGTTTATTGCTGTTAGCTACCCAACTCTCAGTGACAGTGCAGAGTCTTAAATATACCCAGTGGACAAATCAGTAGGGATGATAGATGAGGGAGCACATTCCAGCCTGTTCCCCCCACATTAAATATGACCTCTTCAAATATATTCAAATAAAGTAGAATTAGGCAAAGGCCTCACCTGTGAAGCAATGTTTCCTTATTTCCATCTAATGCGTCAACAATAGGTTCATCGCCTGCATAAGATGACATCATCAGTTTAAGAATTTCAGTAGCTCCTTGGGTGGCAGCAAAATGAAGAGCTGTGCATTTGTCACTCTAAAAGTGGGAACGCAAAGCACAAGAAAGCCTTACAGTTATTCCCATTCCTATGCAAATGTTTAAAAGTTTTCCATAATAGTCCAAAACTCAACTCCTCATTTATAGACTTGAAATTTAGAACAAGGGTCTTGGTCAAATTCCAACTATCATTTTGCACACTGGCCAATTTATAGCACAAGCACTTCCTATTACAGCCATATACACATACATACAAATTATCAGGGCTGGCCCATCCTTGAGGTGGGCTGGGCTGCTGCCTCGGACACCAAAGGACCAAGACGCTGCGGCCTTGTGAGCGCCCCTCCTGCCCCCACCAGAAAAGTGATGCTGGCTTCCAGAGACCTGTTGCTGCCATCTTTGTGGCTGCAGCCATACAACCCATGTCCCATGCCCACAGTGGCATGGCAAACACGCTCCCATTTCTCCTCAGGCAGCAAAACGAGATGTGATGCCCCTGCAGGTTATTATTTTGAAGTATGGAAACAAAAACTAGCCTCATGCCACATAATGAGCTAATGTAATGAGTTTGCTGTGTGCACTATGTTGTCTACATCTTCAGTCAGAAATCTGGGTGGAACTAGACTGTGCTCCTACTGGGGAAAAGCACTCCCAGAACACAGTTCCTCTCAGGGGATGTTCCTGCACATAGCAGGGGCGATTTTTGCCAATTCTCTTCTCCCACTGGAATCCCAATCCCACCTCCCATACTGTTCCAGAGGGCTGGGGGCCCTCCACAATAGTGTGCGGTATGGCACTGGCTACTGCAAGGAGAGCAAGGAATTTGCAGAAAACACCCCCTCTCTGCACTGGCAGGATTCCTTCCATCATACTCAAAGTACTTGGTGAACAGAGGGAGCCTTTCCATTCTTTAACTTTCTTGCACAGTATATTTAAATAAACGTGTGTTTTGTTAGCTCTTACCTGCTTCAAATCAATTTGGGCTCCATATTCAATGCACATTTTAATCATTTCCAAGTCTCCACTTTGAACTGCCAGATGAAGAGGACTACACTTTCCATTATTAGTAAAATTGATGTGGTTTTTAGGGGAATAGCCTAATTCTTCACCTTAATGATTAAAAAATAGATGGTTACAAATAACAGGATATCATATATGACAAGAGGTAGAAACAAAAACTTCCTCCCCATTTTGCAGCATATTCATTTTGCCAAAGCATCTTTTGATGTTGCGACAGATTTATGCAACTGTATTTAGTTAAGACTATAAAGTAATAAGTATAATCAATTAAATAGCAACCTAATTCATGCACCTGATTAGATTTTGTTAAGCTTACAAGGAGAAAAACAGATGCATAAGTTTTTGTGAGACTATGGGCCAAAGAGAGATTTAGATCAGAGTTTAATCCCCAAAATATTACCTCAATATATTGAATATACATTTAAATAATCAGTTCAAATAATATTTAATAAAATACTATCTTATAAAATCCTTGCTTGATTTGCCTTACAAAGGAATATTACAAGGATATCTTCATATAACTGATAATTGCAACGATGACGTAGGAAATGTGTGATCTGAATTCAGGCTATAGTTTTAAGAAACAGGGCTTGGTGAGTTATGCTTTGAATGAAATAAATATTGATGGAATATTGTAAAATGTATTTACCCTTCTTTATGATAATCTCCATGCATGTTTTTGCACCAGAAAATGCAGCAGCATGGACTGGCATACATCCTAAACTGTTTGCTTTACATATTTTAGCACCATTTTTTATCTGCAAGAGAATTATCCGATATTAAGATGACAATTTCTTAAACAGTTCACAGATTGAATACTTAGAACATATTAAGCACTTACTTATTGATTTCAAAAGGATGATAGACACATGTAACTATATTTGGATCAGAACTGGCACCTGTGAAAGGCTAAGGCCAATGGGTCAGTAGCTGGGACACTAGCAATGACTGGAGATGCTGACACGTGGGGCCTATCAGTGCCTCTCTCATTAAGAGATGGAAGATTACCCCAAAGGCCTCTTCAATGATAAAGGGGCAGGGAGAGTCATAGTCCATAGGCTGATGGCCATGGCAGCAGATTCTAGAAGAGTGTGACTCTCGCTTTTTTTGCCCTTCTAGGTCTTTACTTTTGGGAATAAGAAAGTCTGGTGGACTTCAAGTTAATAAAATCTCAGAATTCATATGAAAATTGCAGATGAAAGCTTGCTGACAACAAGCAGGGACTAGCAAGGAAGTAAAAGTCCACCTGCTGTTCCTTCACCTCATGTTTTATCACACAAATTTGTTAGGGTAAACTTTTGACCCTTCTTTTCAAAAAACAAGAGCTTCTAATTTTCTGATAGGTTCCACAGTAGATGCCTGTGACCAGCTCCTTGATGCCACATCTAATGATTGCATGTGCAATGCTTAGACACATAACTTGCTACAGTATATAGAAATATGAAAAGGCAAGAGAACCACACTGATTCACAGAGAAAGGCAAACAAAAAAGTAAATAATTTTCTGCACATACCAGAAGTTTCAGTGCTTCAGTATTATCTTTATAACATGCAAGTAATATGGGTGTGTTCCCACTCTCTCCTTCCAGGTTCACATCCGTAGCACTGTGTTCGACGAAAATCTAAACATTAAAATTAAATTTAAAAGTCTGGCTCTTCTGTCACATCATTGCTGTGCTTATCTCAGGAGTAATAAATAAAACACATCTCTGTCAGAACATCTATGTAATTATTGGCAGACCCACTCTCTTTCCCCATAGGTAACTCCAGAGCAACTGTCTCAGGCACAGGCCATCTGACATGTGTTCTAGTGACGGGCCTGGACCTTTAATTCTGTGTGCAGGTAACGTACGGCTAATGGAAACTTGCCTAGATATGTTTTCTCCATGCCATTCACAAGACTTCCCACTGCATTCTAAAGCCACCTGGAGCCTCACATGTATCATTTGATCCTAGAGTTTACAAATAACTGCATGAATGATGGTTTTGAAGTGTTGAAAAGAATCAGCCTTTTGACTCCTGCCTACCCAACACAGAGGGACGCGGGTGGCGCTGTGGGTTAAACCACAGAGCCTAGGACTTGCCAATCAGAAGGTCAGCGGTTCAAATCCCCACGACGGGGTGAGTTCTCATTGCTCGGTCCCAGCTCCTGCCCACCTAGCAGTTCAAAAGCATGTCAAAGTGCAAGTAGATAAATAGGTACCGCTCCGGTGGGAAGGTAAACGGCGTTTCCGTGCGCTGCTCTGGTTCGCCAGAAGTGGCTTAGTCATGCTGGCCACATGACCCGGAAGCTGTGCACCGGCTCCCTTGGCCAATAAAGCGAGATGAGTGCCGCAACCCCAGAGTCGGTCACGACTGGACCTAATGGTCAGGGGTCCCTTTACCTTTACCTTTTTACCCAACACAGGTTTCGTTTCCATGCATGTGGCCCTTGACAGTTTGCTTCTGAAGGATTGTAGCCCTTGACAAAAAAAAGAGTTTTCCCCACTCTGGCTCTGTGGTGTGCTTTCAACAGTTTATCTCCATATTTCAAAAAACTTCAGTACCACAGGTGGATTTAGGGTTTTGCCGCATTGGGCGCCGAGCCTAGGGGACGCCACAGGGCACCACAACTGTGACATAGTGAATTGAGCAAAACAGAACGCAAGAGGTGTGTGTGTGTGTGTGTGTGCTGAATTTTGGTCTTGCACACGGCACCACTGAAATTTGAAAGACCAAAGTCTGCTTCTGCCTGCAGATCAAGCTGCTCTTAAAATATGAAGAATAAGTCCGTAAATCTACTGAGCTACTGATTCTCTGCTTCATCTTGCAGCCAGTGAGATGAGGCATTTATCTTCCATGAGATAGTACAGCATGCTGTAAAGTCCAGATTTTAAATCACTAATATGTCAGCACAAAATTTTCATAAATGTTAATTTACAGTTCAGATCATAAGACTACCTTATTATTTGGGTGTGGGGCTCTTCAGAGTCTTAAGAGTTTATTGAGACTTCCACAACAAAGAAAAACAAGCAGAAAAGCAATAAAAGCTTGGAGCATATTCACCTACATTTGATTACATTAAAGCTAAACAAGTAGACAACAGAAAATCTTCCACAAATGTACAATCCATAACAACAAACAAATAAACACTAAGTGAAGCAATCCGGCAACCATCACAGAAGTAATCAACCAGCCAAGCATAAAGGGAAGGGTATGTGTGAATTAACTCAGGACTCAGTTACACAGCTGCAAATAAAATGTTTTAAATTTGCTGTAAAGCACAAAATACAAATGTGACACTAGATGGCAGCAGTAAGCTATGCCAAATTCAATGTCGTTTTCAAAACTTTTTTTAATAAAAGCATTTTCACAACATTTTTTATATGTGTGAGGATTCCACCTCACTCAGCCCATAATTGTGATGGCCTGGGATTCCGATTCGGAGGATGAAACAGAGGAATCCCGGCCTGCACAGGAGTCCCCGCCTCCAGGGCCGGCTGAACTGGGGCAAGGCCTTGATGCTGAAGAGCCTGCACCTGTGGCAGTGCATCAGGAGCTGGCCCCAGGTGAAGCCCTTCGGGCCCCAGAGGGGCTTGATGACTCAGTGGCCACAGGTGAGCCTCCTCCAGGGCCCAGTAACCCTTCGGCCTCTCCTGATCTGCAGAGGCTTAGGGCAGAGAGGCGAAGGGAACTGGTTGCCCCCAGGAGGAGTGCTCGCCTTAAGGCCAGAGGAGGCGGGGCCCTGGGGACCGGGACCGCCCCTGGCCTTAGAAGAGGATAAAGCCCAGTCAGCCCGGCCCCAGGTTGCGGGAGCAACGTCGTTGTTGGCTTCGGACCTTCCTGTGTTCCTGACCCCTGCTCGGCTCCCTGTGCCTGACTAGCCCGTACTCCGGGTCCCTCCTCGGCCTCCTGTTCCCGACCATCCGGTGTTCCTGTTCCCTGCACAGCCTCCTGTTCCAGCATTCCTGTTCCCCGCCCGGCTCTCTGCCTCGGACCTTGCCCCTCTTCGTGTGGACTCTGCTACACCCAAGGTACCTTACCCCGGGACCAGCACAGTTTGCTCCCGCCAAACCCGCACTCCCCCTTCGTAGGGGTGCGTTCGGGAAGAGCCAGAGGCCATGGCCGACCAGGCGGCTGCACTGGTGGCTTTGGCCCAGAAGAACCAGGCCTTGACTCACACCGTGCAGCAGCTCAGTGACGCGGTTGTGGCACTTCAACAACGCTTGGAAGGACCTACCGGCTCCTGGGGCCGACGCCCCGGCTCCTGGCAAGTACCCAGTGGCTTTGCCTGAGAAATTTGATGGAGCCCCGGCCAGCTTTCCCATGTTCCTGGCCCAGGCCAAGCTGTATATTCAGGGGCGAGCCCGGAACTTTCCTGACGACCGCACCAAGGTGCACTTTGGACGGTATCGGACCACCCATCTGGTCAGTCGTGAGTTTTGGTGGCCCCGCCTGAAGGCTGACGTGGCTCGCTACGTTGCTGGTTGTGATGTCTGCCGACGCGCCAAGGGGCCTACCGGGCGACCCCCCCGGCCTACTTCAGCCATTGCCAGTTCCACCGCGCCCTTGGCACACAGTTTCGTTGGACTTTGTAGTGGACTTACCCTCATCTCGTGGCTGTACCTGCCTTCTGGTTTTCTCCGACCATTTCACCAAGATGGTGCACTGCGCTCCCTGTCCATCTGTACCCACAGCCAAGGAAACTGCTCAGCTGTACCTTCAGCATGTCTTCCGCCTGCATGGACTACCTGAGCGCGTGGTGTCCGACTCGGGGCGTTCAGTTCACATCCCGGTTCTGGCGAGCATTACACCAGACCCTCGGGACAGAGGTCTGCCTCTCGTCAGCCTACCACCCACAGACCGATGGCCAGACGGAACGGGCGAACGCGGTGCTGGAGCAGTACCTCCGGTGTTACTGCAGCTACCAGCAGGATGACTGGGTCGACCACCTGGCATTGGCGGAGTTCGCCTATAACAACGCGGTGAATGCGTCCACCCAGCAGACCCCGCTCCAGGCCAGTTATGGTTATCATCCACGGCTGTTTCCAGAGGTGCTGCCGGCATCCGCGGTCCCGGCGGTGACGGAGTGGCTTCAAGAGCTCCAGTCCCAGCAACAGCTTTTGGTGGAGCAACTGCATCAGGCCAAGGAAGCGCACAAAGCCCAGGCCGACCGCCACCGCCAGGTGGGGCCGGAACTCGCGCCGGTGACCTGGTTTGGCTCTCCACTCGCCACCTCCACCCCTCTCGACCTTCGCGGAAGTTGGACGCCCGCGTCACCGGCCCGGTCCCTATCGTAGACCAAATCTCTCCTGTGGCATTCCGTCTCCGGTTACCCGCAACCCTGAAGGTTCACCCGGTCTTCCACAGGTCCCTTTTGAGTCCGGTGGCCCCACCCGACGAGTTCCACCAGAACCGTCCCCGACCGCAGCCAGTGTTGGTTCGGGAGAGCCTGAGTACGAGGTGGAACGCATCCTGGACTCCCGATACCGCAGGGGAAAGCTGCAGTATCTCATTGACTGGAAGGGGTACGGACCGGAGGACCGCTCCTGGGAACCAGCGGCCAATGTCCATGCACCTGCCTGCCTCCGAGAGTTCCATGCGACGATCCCGGCAAGCCGGGTCCGGACCTCGGTTGAGGGGGGCCTGGGAGGGGGATGGTGTGATGGCCTGGGATTCCGATTCGGAGGATGAAACAGAGGAATCCCGGCCTGCACAGGAGTCCCCGCCTCCAGGGCCGGCTGAACTGGGGCAAGGCCTTGATGCTGAAGAGCCTGCACCTGTGGCAGTGCATCAGGAGCTGGCCCCAGGTGAAGCTCTTCGGGCCCCAGAGGGGCTTGATGACTCAGTGGCCACAGGTGAGCCTCCTCCAGGGCCCAGTAACCCTTCGGCCTCTCCTGATCTGCAGAGGCTTAGGGCAGAGAGGCGAAGGGAGCTGGTTGCCCCCAGGAGGAGTGCTCGCCTTAAGGCCAGAGGAGGCGGGGCTCCTGGGGACCGGGACCGCCCATGGCCTTAGAAGAGGATAAAAGCCCAGTCAGCCCGGCCCCAGGTTGCGGGAGCAACGTCGTTGTTGGCTTCGGACCTTCCTGTGTTCCTGATCCCTGCTCGGCTTCCTGTTCCTGACTATCCGGTACTCCTGTTCCCTGCTCGGCCTCCTGTTCCCGACCATCCGGTGTTCCTGTTCCCTGCACAGCCTCCTGTTCCAGCATTCCTGTTCCCCGCCCGGCTCTCTGCCTCGGACCTTGCCCCTCTTCGTGTGGACTCTGCTACACCCAAGGTACCTTACCCCCGGGACCAGCACAATAATATTAATTACTCCACCCCCACTTTGACTGTGGGGCATGACTGTGTATATGTGCGGCACAAAGAAATAAATAGATTTGAACCCGGAAATGGAGGGAGAGAGCTGGAAAGTCCTCATGGCTCATGAGGAGACCCTCTCTGGAGCCTGAAGAGGATGTCAATAAGGGTGCAAGAAGCCCTGAAGAGACCATAGGCACAGCAGGGATTTGTTGAGCCTGCTCAGCCTCCCAATCTAAAAGCTGTTGTGTGGGGTACCAGAGCTGCAGCAGCCTCTTTCCCGCATGCCCTCCAGTGACTTGCCAGCCAAAGATCTTCCATTCTGAATGTGGAGATTTTTGGATAAAGTATTTTTGTATGGATTGAAGAGAGAGTGGCAGAGAAGGCATTTAAAGGGCATTTAGAGGGTGTTGCCCACTTTACACAATTTCACTTCTGTGTGCACGGGCCCAAAACGTAACCACTGCATAAGTGGGAGGGATGGGGAACGGCTGTATATATTTTGGAAAACGATTTGTCCATCTGCCCTCCATAGGTTCATCCACCTCTCAAGACATCATCACTGTACTCAGTGTGATGGTTCCTGAGGTGGTGAAAATGGGGTTCGTCACCATTTAGATGCTGGGAGCCATTTTGAATCAAGATGGCAGACCCAAACACAACTTTGGTATGGCTTTGTTGGCATAGGCTTGGCTGCCTCTTGAGATATCATAGCCAAACTCAGCATGATGGTTCCTGCAGCGGGAGCGGTGGTCTTCATTGATGCTCGGATGACATGTGCCGTTTTGAATCAAGATGGTGGACCAAAACATGACTTTGCCCAATTTTTAGTGTGATGGGCTCAAACTCACAAACTGCACTATCTATTTGAATATCAAATTATTTTCAGAGCCGGGCACTCTCCCCTAGTCACTCTAGAAAACTGCATGAGCTGATGGAGGAAGCCATTCATACATATTTAATAAAACAAAACCATTTCACATAGAGACCGCTTTACTATTCTCTTTTCATTGGCAAGCGTATGAACTTGGAATTAAACTTTACCTTAACTAATTCATTGTGAAGGCACTGCACAGCCAAGTGAAGTGGAGCCATCATACTGGAATTAAGAATGTTTGGGTTAGCTCCTTTGCTGAGAAGTAATTTAACACTTCCAATCTGGGATTTTTTCGTGGCCCAATGCAGTGGTGTGTTTCCAGAGCAGTCAGTCACATTTAGCACTAGGCCAAAGGGTAAGAAAACAGAACGGATGTTATATCACACTTGTATGATGCACACAATGACTGATATTAATAATCATAATGTTTTAACAAAAATAGTAACTGTAGATGCAGATGTTAGATTAATTAGCAAGTGCCAACCTTTATTCAGCAGATTTTGTCCCGTATCATTTGCATACTTTAAATTTAAATAATAAAATCTAAATGAAAGTGTGTGATACACTCTTAAAAGAGCAGTTAATGCCTTTTCTACTTATCTGTACTTGTAAATGCATTCTAATTGTCTGCTTTTTTGAGGCCAGCCTGTTATTGATCTGCTGCTTCCACGGTATGACACAAAGATGTGCTTTCTACAATAGGATATAGCCATCTGAAAATAAATCCAGTAAATAGAGAAGTATAATTCCAAATGCAAAATTGACACACAGGTGCTTTTACATGGGCTATGTTCCTATCCAAGTCATTTCCTAAATGTTTTTCCTCTCAAAACAGACACAGTACCTAAAAGCCTAGACACCTAAGAGTTATGGTGGTACAAGCTGTACTATGTCACCAGAGAAGGGGAGAAAACAGGAGGAAGGAGAATTGGGAAGATGGTGCTGGTGCAATTACCAAGTCACATGACACTGAAATGTGCTGAATAGATGCGGTCATGTAGGCTGTGTTCGACTGCATGGTAAAGTGATCATGCATCACAGACCCAGTTTTTCAATGGGCATGGGTATTTTACAGAACTACCAGAACGTTTTTAGGTGTAGATCGGTAATAGCAATATAATATACCTGCAGACTCTTAAATTTAAAAATCACTAAGATTACCTGGTTGATCAGAAAGTAAGAAAAGTCTCGCTGGATCAGACCAAAGGTCACTGTAGTCCAGCATCCTGTTTTCACAGTGGTCAAACACTGTGGGAAGTTCACAAATAGGACACTCACCTGTTTTGTGTTCCCCATCAACAGGTATTTGGAGGCATACTGTCTTTGGAAGCAGAACAGCTGGTAGACAGTGACAGCTTTACCCAACATGAATTTATATAAACTCCTTTTAAAGCTGTCCCAATTTGGTGGCCATCACTATCTTGTGGTGGTGAAATTCATAGTTTAACTATGTGCTGTGTGAAGACACACTTCCTTTTACCTGTCCTGAGTCTTCCAACATTCAGCTTCATTGGATTCTCCTGCATTCTGGTACAGTGAGAGAGGAAGAAAACTTTCTCTCTACCCACTTTAACTACACCATACATATCCACAGTTAAGTCACACTCAAGAGTAGACCTACAGAAACAAATGAACAAGTAAATGAAGCCCACTGATTTCAGTGGGTCTGCTCTGAGTATGGCTAGTTGGATGCCAGTCTCTGTTTGCTATTTGATGGCCAGAAAATTACTAGGCACTTCCAACTTCCCCAGAGAAGTTCCAGAAATGGCACAAACAAAATTTAGTATTATATGGAGGACTGGATACATATGTCATTTTTGTTACCACTATTTACAGCACAGAAGTATCTCAACAGAAGTGAAACAGAATGGTCTGGGGATCTAAAGAGCTACTTTAGATATGGCCAAGAAGTTGAGCATGTCCATCTCTACTTTTCAGTTTTTTTCTCTGAACTGCAGAAAACATTTAACTGCTTTAAAAGGCCCCTCAGTTTTAAAAGCGGTTAATCATGTGCTATAGGGAGCTGCTCCTCAAGAAACACATAAGTTTGGACATGCAGATCTAGGGCAGCATCCAATTAAATAGTTATACTAGTGCAACAACTTTTAGCTGTGCAATTTAACTTTTCTGCCTCTCCTCTCCAGTGTAAACCACAGTGCCTCCTAAATTTGTTCTGGTGCTTCCCTCAACCCTCCAGAACAGATTTAGGGGGCACAAGGCATGCATGTTGTTCTTTGCACGTGCACACAAACACACACAGCAACCTGAAACTACAGACCATGGAGGTGCACATTCAAAATTCTATGTGAACCCTTCTGATGTCACTGTAAATGAGGAGCTCAATCTGCTAGCCAAGTGGTAAAGTAATGAGTTCTCAGTCTGTGGAAACAGACTCAGGTCTGCATGTGCAAGCATTGCTGCAGTTGCCCTGAAGGTAGAATGCCCTGAACAGAAGACTGTTATGGCAGCTTTGGATGAGGACTATTGTTCCACAGTGGAAGAAGGCTGCTTTGCACTCATGAAACCAGACAAAGAGACAGAAATTTGTCCACAGATGACTAACCCTGAGAATGGAATTGCACACAAATATTACTTGGGTGCTCACCACTACAACTGCTTTTTGAAGTGGGCAACATTCCAATAAGCTATAAGCTCATCTCCTTTGCATCACATGCTCCTTTCACCAGTCACCAGAAGACCTACCATTGTCACCTGAGTGCCACATGGGTACATAAGCAGAGAGAAATGTCCTCTGCAAGGCTGATGCCTCAAGGCAACGCAGCAAGAGACAGTGAAAACATTTAGTAGACCTACATATGGTAGTGTGGGGATTTGTTGTGAAGAGGCACACACAAAGGTAATGTGGTCTCATTAGTTAATGAAGTAGCTGCTATACTGTGTGGTTATCAAGTTATGTGGATTGTGGAATCTACAAATTTCAGGCTGCGGGTGACCTCTAATCTCTGCATTCAGAACTGTTTCAAAAGCACCTGTGTGTCAAGCCAGTGTGGTGTAGTGGTTAAGAGCGGTAGTCTCGTAATCTGGCGAACCGGGTTCGCGTCTCCACTCCTCCACATGCAGCTGCTGGGTGACCTTGGGCCAGTCACACTTCTTTGAAGTCTCTCAGCCTCACTCACCTCACAGAGTGTTTGTTGTGGGGGAGGAAGGGAAAGGAGATTGTTAGCCACTTTGAGACTCCTTAAAGGGAGTGAAAGGCGGGATATCAAATCCAAACTCTTCTTCTTCTTCTTTCCCCATTGTTGATTTGTTAGCAAGGGTTCTAGCCTTTTCTCATCATCTATATAATTTATTTTGCATCAGTCAGATTCCATTATGCATTAATCCTTCTACAGCTGATCATCTGCACTTGTGCTCAAACTATTAATAAAGTCAAAACATGATACTATGGAATGAATAGGAGTTTAGTTGACTGACTAGATACACATCCCAACATGCTGAGACTAGAACACAAGACTTCTCCCATGAAATTTTCTATGTGCTGATCAATAGATACATGCTTTAAAGTAATAATAATCATTTTTGTCACCTTCAGTTGAAGAACCATCTATAATCATTTGCATTAGCTCAAGTTGACCTCCTGCTGCAGCATGATGCAATGGAGTGGCATTTAGCTCATCCAGTTTCTTAAGACCATCCCGATTCTTCTTAATGAAACTTCGTAGTCTGCAGGTACTTCCATCTGAGATCACCTAATTTTGGATTATTATTTTTTAAAAATGCAATAATATTTATTTTCAAAGAGAATGTAGTACTGAAATGCCACATTCTATAGACATACTGGCTTGGCATACTGGTTGGCTGTTTGTTTTTGGGATACCTTGGCACCTGCATGCTAATTGCTTTTAATCTAGTAGAGCCAGAAGCTAAAAGTTAACAAAATTGGATTACATTTGTATGAATCATCTTTTAATCTAATAAAGGAGAGTGCAGATGAGGGTGGCCAAGATGATAAAAAGTGTAGAAACCAAGACTTATGAGGAACGGTTGAGGGAGTTGGATATGTTTTGCCTAATATATCTAAAGGGCTGTCACATGGAAGATGCAGAAAGCTTGTTTTCTGCTGCTCCAGAGGGGAAGACCCAAACAATGAATTCAAATTACAAGAAAGGAGATTCTGACTAAACATTAGGAAGAACTTTCTGACAGCAAGAACTGTTGTACAGTAGAACCGACTACCTTGGAGGATGTTGGGCTCTTCTTCACTGGAAGTTTTTAAACAGAGGTTGGATGGTCATCTGTCAGGGATTTTTTAGCTGTGATTCCTTCATTGCAGGGGGTGGACTAGATGACCCCTTCCAACTCTACAAGTCTGTGATTCTATCCCACTTATCTTTGTTCAACTTTTCCTCCAGGCTCACAGGACAGCAAATGCAGGGTTCTAGTTTTGGCTCATTTGATTGAGCTGTATTAGCTCTGAAAATATCATAGTGTGGTGCTTACCCACTCTACAACATAATTTTTAAAACAAGAGATCACATCAAAGAATATGGCTATTTTCTCTCCAGCAATGCTACTTGCATTCATTACATGGAAATAGTACATTATGGCATATGAACCAGAGTGTGGATATGATGAATATATTGGGGGGAGGGTCTGTTGCGTGCTTTGTTTTTTGTTTTTTCCCACATGCAGAGAGGTCCTAAGACCTATATTAACCTTTGGATCAAGGCCAACGAAAAGATTAAAACTTTTTACAGTATCAGCATATCTGATGTTTGTGAGTCATAGGAAATTACCAGATTAATTTGAGCTAGTTGTGATATTGCTGTTAAAGGCAACACAAAACAGAGTAGCAACAAGTAACCCTTAAAACGTGTGCTTTTTAAACTACATAAACTGAACTCAAAACATCCTACAAATTCATTCCATTCTCATCCATTCTTCTCCATTCTACATAAATAGGTTTGTTTTTTTTAGAAGAACCATAGAATGGTAAAAGGTAACCTAGTCCAACATTCTGTCCCAAAAGAGGTTTTAGAGAAGTTTTAGATCCCAGAAACAAGTACAGTCCTAATACATGCATCATTTTTAAGAGCTGAGTTTTCAGCATCCTGGACTTCTTGGCCAGGGTACTGAAACTGCCTTTGGACCATCACTTTGTGCACTTAACATGTTTACCAGGAAGAGATTCAACAGGTACAGAGTCTGCCAGTATGGAGGTGAGCCAAAAGGAAAACTTTGGCCTGTTGAATTTTCGACGGATCTTCCTCCATGGTTAATCCTGGCAGGAAAAGAGGCTCACAAACCAAGGACCCAGACACTCCAGAACAGGATTTCCCCAGAAGCACAGATCTGAAGACACTCCATACCTGCTCCCGGTAGCCCCGCGATTGCTTCAGGCTGCAATCTTATACCCCCCCTTAACCTGGACTTAAAGTCCCGCCGAACTCGCGCGGCGCCAGGCGCTTTACCTTAAACACATCCTGCGAGGCGACCGAGGCGGCGTCCGCTTCGCACACGACCCCTTCGTAGCAGGTGTCCTGCTTGCTCTGCCCGGACTGGAACAGCTTCAGGAAGGCGCGCTTCATGGTCTCGCTGCCAGTCCGTCTCCCGCGGCGACCTGTGGGAGACACCAGAAGGAGCCATGTGTGCAGGGGAAAGCCCAGCCCGAGAGAGCAGGAGGAGGAGGGACGGGCGAGGTGCGCCCACCCACAAAAGAGGAGGCGCGAATGGGGCGTCGTCAGGCGGAGTCGGCTGCACGAGGAAGAGGCGTGAGGAAAGGCCGCGAGCGAGCGGCGGGCTCGTGGAAGAGATTCCCGCCTCCAGAGTTGAGGGAGAGCGGCCAGAGCAGGGGCGGCGGCGGCCTGAGGGGTCTCGCCGTAGGAACAGCGCGGCACCAGTGCGCTCGCCTCGCGAGGCTGAAGCGGCCTCCGCTAGAACAAGGCTCGACCGCTGAGGGAGGAAATTGGCGCCTCAGCCGAGGAGTGGGGCCCCTCTCGGCTGTCCGCCGTGGGGAGCGCAGTGGGGTCGATGCGGTGACGTCCCCACACAGACAGACGTTTTGGTCTGCTGCTTCCCCTCAGGAACGAGCAAGACCATTTAGGCCGGTACCCAGACGTTTGCGGGTTGGACTCCCCAAGGGCACGCTCGCAAGGCCAAAAGAACCTAAACACCGGCAGCCTAGTATGTTTCCCAGTTATTATATAAAGCACTGAATAGTTGTTAACAACCTATTTTCTTTTTAAGTGCCAATTTTATATGTCCTGAAGAAGATACAGCCTAAGGCTGAGCGGTTAACAAACCCCTCACGGGGACCAAAACAACCCAGAATGTAAACTGTAAAAGCCACATAATTATAAATAACGCAAGCAGCTATTTAAAAAGTAAACTTTTTAATTTTTAAAAAATAAAACTAGCAAGGGAATTGTTTGGTACGGCACTCTAGAAACACCAGAATAATATTATCATTGTAATTAAGCAACAAAAAGTATAATGTTAATCTACAGCTTTAGTAAAAAGAAATTTTTAAAAAAGAAAACCTCCTAATGCTTGCCCATTTTATGAGGGAAGGTTGAAGGAAATAACAGGGTATGGTTTTCCTGGCAAAGAGAAGACTTGAGGGCAGTGGGATAGTAAAGAATGAGCTGGGTTGCAATAGCTACAACTAAGTGATAGGGCTCGACATGAAATGGGGTAGGTCTTTTCTCCACCCACCCCCTCCCTTGGCTGGATGCCACGTGATCGTAGGAGCAGCAGCGAGAAAGTTGTGTGAGAGGTGCTGGAGTCAAGAGGCAGAGAAAAGTCTGCTCAGTTCTATGCTTTGGGGCTTCGCTGGAAACATAACAGAAGGATATATATATATATATTATACACTGCTTGATTTTTTTAAAATAAACCCTCAAAGATCTTGTTAATGCTCAGCCAGTGTGGTGTAGTGGTTAAGAGCGGTAGTCTCATAATCTGGGGAACCGGGTTTGAGTCTCCGCTCCTCCACATGCAGCTGCTGGGTGACCTTGGGCTAGTCACACTTCTCTGAAGTCTCTCAGCCCCACTCACCTCACAGAGTGTTTGTTGTGGGGGAGGAAGGGAAAGGAGAATGTTAGCCGCTTTGAGACTCCTTAAAGGGAGTGAAAGGCGGGATATCAAATCCAAACTCTTCTTCTTCTTCTTCTTCTCAGCTCCTCCATCCTACACTCAGGTTCTATATATGTGTAAATGAAACCTCACATCCTAAAGACACAAAAGTCTGTACTGTGTTGACCATCATTCCAGGGAAGTCAAACTCTGGAAAATGCTTGGAAACCCTGGAGTCTCTTCCCACTCAGAGATTGGGCTGGCACATAACATTATGTAGAATTTATTATGGAAGCTGGGAAAACAAATCTCTTCTGTCCAGCAGCAGCAGACACTGTAAATACATCACCACGAACACAGAACTATGGTTCCTTCAGAATTCTGCCCTCGATGACTTTATTATGTCCAGGGCTTTTTTCCCCCAGCTGGAACTGAGTTCCAGCAGCTCTCAGGTGGGTGCCATTGCCATTATAAGAGAACAAGGGAGGTGTTCGTGGTGAGTTCCAGCACCCTTTTTTTTTATATCCACATATGTGCTTATATTTTTATTTCCACTGCAGGGGCTCATGGCACGTTCAAGAGCGTGCTATTTATCTGGGAAACAGTGCTAAGGAGCAGGGGTCAGCAACCTTTTTCAGCCGTGGGCCAGTCCACCGTCCCTCAGACCATGTGGTGGGCCGGACTATTTTTTTGGGGGGGGGAATGAACAAATTCCTGTGCCCCACAAATAACCCAGAGATGCATTTTAAATAAAAGCACACATTCTGCTCATGTAAAAACACCAGGCAGGCCCCACATATAACCCAGAGATGCATTTTAAATAAAAGGACACATTCTACTCATGTAAAAACATGCTGATTCCCGGACCGTCTGTGGGCCGGATTGAGAAGGCAATTGGGCCACATCCGGCCCACGGGCCTTAGGTTGCCTACCCCTGCTAAAGAGGAACCATTTCTTCTCTACTCCCAATCAAAAACAGGCACGTACACCACACAAACATTTTTTAAACCCAAACTTCTCCTACAACTATGTTTTGACCTTTAAAGGTTAAGCAAGACTTTGCTGCTGCTTCAGTCTTCTTCCCCTGTAAAGGTGACTACATATACAGTATAAATTTGCAGAGTGCACCCAGCCAATAGTCAGTGGTAACAGCTCTGACCAACTCTGCCTCACTGAGTAATGATGTGCTAAATGCACTGAAGAAGGCATAAGGAATGTCCATGGTTTTGATTACAGGGGGCTAAAGCCATCCAGTCCCTGTCCCAGTTTGTGGAAGTTTCACAGACATAATCTTATAAGTAATGTTCAAGTTACATGTTAAGCAGAGCTCTCTGATCCTTCTGGCATTTTTCGGCCTGGGGAAAGCAGGGAAATGTTATTTTTGGGTTAAAATCACCCTCTATAAGATGCCTTTTTACCCACAAGAGGAGAGGAGATAGAGACCTCCATGGGTGAAAAAGAAGCTGAAAAAATGGCTAGAGAGGAAGGGGTTAAGCCGTCTTTCTTCATGCACTCTTCTTCCATGCTGCCCTGAGGTATTTGGCTTCCAAAATAAAAAACACAGAAGAAAAATTACTGAACTCTGTACAGCCCTTGAGACCTTCAGCATGCAAAGCATGTGCTCTATCACCAAGCATTGGTCTCTTCCCAGGTGGCCTGAGATGCCCTGAGAAAAGGAGACATTTGTATATATCTTCCTATAAATAGGGATGTATTTCTACATTACTCAGCTGGAATGTGGTACAAAGACACCCTGATTACGAGAAAGCTCTAAAAAGATATTTTCACTTCATTAACTCCACAGTTCGGTCCATGAAATTTATCACCTAACAGAAAAGAACATCCCAAGACAGAACAAACAAAATTAAATATAGGACAACTACATGAAACTATGGTGGGAGATAATCTGGGTCTACGAGGTTTGGTGTCATCACTATGCTGCCAACACTCAGCTCTATTTTACTAGTAGCATAATATATGCCAGCATGTTTCCCAATATATTGATGCACACCACCCCATTCTCCGAGCGGTGTAAGATTCCAGGGTCCAGGTGGTTATCCAAGGTTCGTGTTTTATTTGGAAATGAGGCACAGCGGAGACTCTGGTGTCTTTATGATATATGGTTTATTTACACATATATACAACCTGAGCCTGTGGTGGAGGGACTCGCAGCGCTACCCTCCAAGGGGTTCTTACTTTCCCATGGCCTCGGTCTTAGATTTCAGCAGAAATTAGCCGTGCCACTCTCTGTTGCTCTGTTCCAGCTTGCTGCATTTCATAGACCGCCACCTTTTCCTCCCAAGCTCACATCCTAGCCAACCACAATCCTAAAAGAAACTACTCTTCTTCAAACTCTGGCCTTTGGCCTTCAAAATAACTCACAGCTGGAGAGCTGTCTGTCACAGAGCCCCAGCTTTCTTAATGTTACAATAATGGTTCATCACCTTGCCATTGTTAACAACTCATACTTAGCGGCCATCATCAGGCTGGCCTGGCTACTCTGGCCATTAAATTCCTGCTGGATTCAGGGGGCTTGAACCTAACACCTATTAGGAACTAGGGGAATCTGGCACCTCCAACTCACAAGGATGTCTTGAAATATTTCCAGTGCTCAAAACTAAGCTCCGTTGAGTTCAAAGTAGCTTACTTCCAGATGTCTGTAGGATTGCAGCCTCAGTGAAATGTTATAAGATTTATAATTTAAACAGATTTTTATGTTTATTGTTACCTATCCTATCCCAAGGCTTTAAATTAGAACGGACAATTAAAAATACCGTAATCATGTACATTCTACAAACAAATTTGTTTTGCATTGAACAGACTGTATGCTGTTGAAATAGCTGCACAGGACTACTACTGTTACAGATCTTCGTTTCAACCTTTTATGCATTGCTAATATTTTAGTTCAACTGATCTAACGAGAAGCCAAGTTCCCCAAAGAATAAACAATACAGCAGGATTTTATCGTATTGGTTCGTTCTTTGAGGCTGATTGCATTTTCATCTTTTTAAAGCAGTGTGAGTTTGGAAGCATAAAATAATATTAAGGGGAAATTCTGAGAATGTGGGAAAAAAGATAGTGAAGAATTAGTTCCTAAGGGGAATGAAATAGAATTGTAATATTACTGACCATAGTTTCCTGTTTCCCCATAATGATTCACATAAGTAACCAATTCAAATAAGCAGGCAAAAAGTAGGCAGTATTGTTTTCCCCAGAGTGGACTGAAAACACTTTTATAAACATTTTTGCCAATATGAGCTTGCTAATGGTAAAACAATGGACCCATTAAGATATGCAAGATTCACTAAAGGTAACCGCAGAGCAAACCTTCAATGAAAATATGATTGTTTAATAAATGAACTGTATTCACAGTAAGAACACAATCCTGCTAAACATAAGAAGCTGACAGATCCTATGCATGTCGACTTAGAAGTAAGCTTCACTGAGTTCCATGGGACACCTTGGTGAGTAAAAGGATGCAGCTATAATCAAGATATGCTTACTTAGGCTAAAGCAATGGCAGATAGGCAATTAATTTCAGAATGTATTACGTAATGGGAATAATAAGTGTGGAAGTTTGCATACAGTAATGCTTAGATACTTGAATGTTGCCATTTATTTTTACTGTATTCTGTGAAAATAGATTTTCACACGAAGGTCCTCTTTCTGCCTGAGTTGGGGATGATGGGCAGAGATAATACTGCACTTGCAGCCCATCATGTCAGCTCTCTGCTTCCAGCCAATCAGGCGAGAACTGAGCGGTAGGGACAGAGGGGCACCAAGGTGAATGTGGTCCACCTGAAAGATTGCAAGGGGTGCCTACTCCCAAGGATACAGCCAGTTCCTTCCCAGCCTGCCCATCCCTATGCATCTCTTTTTGCTGTAGCTTGTAACATTGAAGTAATCTCAGGATTGCTGTGAACCCAGTGTTAGCTGCTGGTTGATAGGGCTAGGAAGGAAATTTACATATGGCTGGAACTAGCAGAATCAGTTTCAAAATCCTATGATATTTGTATTGTTGATTCCCTGGGAGGGATGGTTTATTGTTGCTGTTTACCACAGCTTTCTTGTGTCACAATTATCAAAGGGCACTAAGGCATTCAGCAGGATTAATAAATGCAAGGTAGCTGGGGATGGGACATTGGGGCACAGGCGTGGGATATCCCATTGCAGGGGTGATGGCAGCAGTGTGCCCTAGATTCTCTTTGTGTGAAAGCCACTCAAATGGCATTAAAGCCATTGATGGCCATCACTGATAGCCCATAACCCAATTCAACTCCGCAGCCTGGGCTGAGTTAAGCAATGTGGCAATGTCAAGCATAGAACCTCAGCCTTATGCCATGCTATTTGCCTTTGTGAAGCTGTATCCAATGATGTGGCTAGTATACTTCCAGCTTGGGTGTCCAGTATCTCTGCTCACTCACAACACCCACTGTGCTCTATGAGGCATGATAATTTTCTGAAGGAGATTCCTCAAAGGCATTAAGCCTCCCTCCCTCCCTCCTTATATTCCATTGGCCAAATTGGGATTCTTCTCCAGAAATATGATAGAACATTCTCACACAGTCACCTTTCCCCACAGTCAGTTTTTGCATTGTTTTGGTCTAGGTACAGGGCATTGCTTTAATCAGCAGATTAAAATGCACCTTAAAAAAACAACTGGTTTAATAAGATAGGAATATTTTAATCTCTCTATGTAACCTAAGGGGACGCGGGTGGCACTGTGGGTTAAACCACAGAGCCTAGGACTTGCCGATCAGAAGGTCAGCGTTTGAATCCCCGCGACGAGGTGAGCTCCCGTTGCTCGGTCCCTGCTCCTGCCAACCTAGCAGTTCGAAAGCACGTCAAAGTGCAAGTAGATAAATAGGTAGTACCGCTCCGGCGGGAAGGTAAACGGCGTTTCCGTGCACTACTCTGGTTCGCCAGAAGCGGCTTAGTCATGCTGGCCACATAACCCGGAAGCTGTACGCCGGCTCTCTCAACCAATAAAGTGAGATGAGCGCCGCAACCCCAGGGTCGGTCACGACTGGACCTAATGGTCAGGGGTCCCTTTACCTTTACCTATGTAACCTAAGAACTTTATAAGTAGAAAATACTACTTTTCCCTCAGTCTGGCCAATGCTAAAATGAAGTCACTAACTGTATTAACAGAAAACTGTAATACAAAAATAAATGTTGCAGAATATTCTTTCTTTAGTTTGAGAAGGTAGATTAGCGTTACTTTCACAATTAAAACCCCTTAATTGGTTAAACCTAATATTAACTGAACTCCAATACTGCGTTAACAAGCAATATAGTTCCTAACCCCAAAGGATTACAGTCTCTATAACATGACCAGAAGAATGGGAATAGAAAGTGTTAAAAGTTTGGTCAGAGATGGGATGAAGGGGTGGAGAGGGATATGATGGGAAAAACAAATGAATAGAAGGAAGTTAATTACCAAAGAGCACTGAGTGAATTGGTGATCCAAAAGTCTCTTTGCAAAATAAAGGTGTATTTACAGAGTGTATTTACAAAGGTGTATTTACAGAGGTGTAAATGAAAAGGGGTTTTGGCTTAATATGTAGAGGTAGCAAGGCCTTTCCTTGGCACAAAAAGCATCGTGGAACAAGGCGCAAAGAGCAGAATGCAAGAAGTGAACTAAGTGGCTTGATATTATGGGCACACGTGGAGTGATAACAAAAAGGGAAATGATAGAAAATGAGGACAGAGACACAAGCAACAGCAAAATCGTAGCAAAGAAATCTGAATTCATTGAAATATTTTCAGAGCTTGATGTGATCATAATGGGATGTGGACCGTGTCTTCTAAAGAAAAGAATAGCATCAAATGCTATGAGATTTCTTCATTTGTTGATGTTGAAGAAAGATATTTTTAAAAATACAAAATACAATGCATGATCATCTTATTGGATTAGCAAAAGCAATATTTTAGTTACCTTTCAAAGAAGTTTTCAGGGGTAGAGGTCTCAGTTCTGCACAAATAACTCCCAAGACACAGCTATCTGACTCTTCATCTGCTGTTTCTTACGTATAATTCAGTAGGGGAGTGCTGCTCGAAGCTGTGTTATGCTTGATGTTGATGCGAAAGTTATTTATGTAAGAGATGTCTGGCCAATGAACAATGTGGGAGGAGCGTGCATTTTCAGAATGTCCTCCAGGACCTTATTTTGTTTCAATATTCCATTTTCAAGATTGGCAGCATTATATCAAGAGAGTTTCTAATGCTTCAACTTGGTTAGGTGGTCACAGGAGGGCATGTGTTGACCTTCTCAGTGAACTAATTGCTTTTAATGGATAGTCAAAACAGCAGTGTACAGGAATACAGTCTGCATAGTTAGAATCACTGTCCTGATAAGTGAATTTCTAAAACTCATGAAAAGGAATGTGATCAGTATCTAATGCATTATGGCATAGTGGAAAGGTTGCACATACTTCCCCCCTCCCCCCAAAAGTAAATTGTCCCTGTTTGCTTTTTTTGCATTGAAATGGGGGGGGGGGAGAGAATGTTTCCTTCATTAAGTTCATTCTCTAATGCACTTTAAGTTTATATCCAGCAAAAGTATCAATGTGTGTGTCCTTTCAGCATTTTGTTGACATGTTGGCTTTATAAGAACATTTTGCGTGACAGAAAATCTCTTTAAAGAACAGCTGTTGTGGCTACTTGATTAGTCACTTCCCAAACTACACAACTGACTGTTTCTTACTTAGTAAATGATTCCTCTGGTTCTTTAAAGAATCACCTATGTGGTTTGAAGAAACTAAAATACTTTCTTTATATATGTTTACAAACAGATTCAAAACACAAATGGGAAATCTGGAGTACTTTTAAAAATCAGCTGATTTTGCCCCTCTTATTCTATTCCCCCCCCCAAAAAAAATACAGCAGATTTCCCATTTGTGTTTTAAGTTTCTTTGTGAATATATACAAAGTATTTTAGTATCTTTAAACCCCGCGAGGAATAACTTTGCTCTTGGCAAAATCTTTATTTATGCAATAATACTTACACACAGTTCTTTTCTTCTAGACAAAAAGGTGCTGGCACTCACCATGAAGTTGTTATATTAAGTGCCACATTTTTAACCAGTGCTTTTCTTCTAGAAAAAAAGGTGATGGTATGCATACACTTGAGTACCCCTATGGGGGGGGGGGAGGAGCGAGCGCTGCTTACATAGAAGACATTCTCATTGTTTGTGGCCAAAGTTGGTCTGGTAAATATGGATAATCTGAAATTCCTGCCTAAAATATTATTATACCTGTCTTGATTATCCTGAACAGGCCTATTGCTTTGGCATATTCTGATTAACCTTGATGCGTGACAAAGGCTTAATGGAAGGTCTAGCTGACTAGCTTATCACTGTATGCTTCTTACAGATAAGTTCTCATAACCCAGTAGCTAAGTAAGCCTTCAAGTTGCTTGTGTTAAGTAGAATGTGAGAGATTAAAGAATGTACATCTGTATTTTGTGTGGGTCCCTAACAAGCATTATATGGATATAAAATATTTTATCAAATTACTTGCAAGTTCTTTATGAAAACTTAGCTTATTTTATAAAATGATTTATTATTTATTTATTTATTTATTTATACAATAGTGCTAAATGTAACATGCAAGAACACATTTCAGAAGTTTTCTAAATGTTCTTAAGGAACTAGTACAGTATTTCTTTAAAAAGTCTTTCCCAAATGATCTCGCTGAGCTTCTCCTAAAGGAGAAAAGAAGAAACCAAATATATGTAAGGGTAGTATCAGAAGCCTTCTGGATTTTTCTTTCAACTGGATCTAATATTTATACTCATATAGGTAAGCAATAATCCCTAATTTTTTAAAGATGTAAATCTTAATATAAGAATGATGTGTCAGGTTAGGCAAAATAGTCACAAAGTGTCAGCAGCTGCAATGACCTGGCTAAAACTAATAGAGGGTGACCTAGATGCTGTTACTTTTTTATAATATAAGACTTGTTAGTCACTTATTATCCAAAGGTCTCCAAACAATTTACCTTTAAAATCATAAACATAAATACATTGTACCATAACACCCGCCCGAAACCCCTACAGAACTTTAAACAGAATGCACAGAAAGGACAGGAAAAAAGAAATTATATATCAATCAACACAGCTCACATACTAAACTATTTGCTATTAAGAGACAAGCAAAATTGTCCATGATGTATCAAGACAAAATTGGAAAATGCTATTGCAAATATATAAAGCAACATAAAGACGTGGCATATGTTTTTAGAGCCTTCATACCAAGTGTCAATATAGACAGATAGAAATCTTTGACTTTTATATATAGCTGTAAAAAGTTTTTGGAAAGTCAGTGTTGTAGAAACTGACCACAAGTGCCCAGTATCTGTTACCAATAAAGAATTAGCAGGCACCTTTTCTGGGATCCAGAGACTCTTTCCCAATTTCAGCTGTATGACTTAACTATTGACTTCTGTCCAGAAAAAAAATCTAGTTATAGAGGATCAGTTATTCAGAGCATGTGACAGAAAAGATGAAAAACAATAAAGAAAATATGTCCGTTTTCAGGGACGGCTGTATGTAATTCAGAGGTATCAGAGGTCCCACCACAGGCTGAGCAGGTCACTGTTTCTGCATACCTGCTCCATATTTTCATTTAAGGCAGAATGAACTGTAATCGAAGAGGTATTGTTCAGAAGCCATAGGTGGAGGGTGCCCGATGATTGCAAAAGGAAATGCTTCAGAGAAAACATGAGGGGCATCTGGGCACTGAAAAATATAAAACAGAAACCAGAGAGGTATTACACTGTACGTATATGAATCTGCATATGTAGTTGTTGTTTTTACCTGCCTATGTAGTGAGCGGGTTGATAAATGCGATAGATACTAAAAATGTTGGACTAGGCAACAAAAGAGCCTTTTTAGAGATTTTATGTAAATATTAACGCTGTTCAGTTTGTTCTTTGTGTTCTAATTGTCTCAATCTCTACATTAGCTGATATTGTAGTTTGTTGCACTGACTGAGCTATAAATGCTTAGTACTTCTTTCTTGACACCTTTCTAAAAATAGGATAATCAAGCATGATCATTTCATATGAATATTGGATTTTCTTCATGGTAATTTGTGTCTCCTGTCTTCAGCACACACAAATATATTTGTGCGCTTTATCATTAGCAGCTGCAATGTGGGTGTGGCTATATCTTAAAGAGTTCCATCCCATCTTCCATTGTTGCCAGTTCCAGGTCAGGTTAGAAGCATAAAATATAATTGCTTCTGAGTTTGTGGGTTCCAGACTTCTAATCCTTGAATCTAGCAACTGTTGAAATTTAATCAAGGGTTGGTGTGTTAAACTGGGTGCCAGACCTCTCAAATCATTGGATCCAGCAAGTGTTAAGGGGCAAAGGTAGGTGCATAACTCAGAATAACTGACAATGGTCATAGACCAAAAGAAATAAATGCTTTCATTTGTGGACCAATTTCTTCATTTGATATAGTGTAGAGTTCACATTATTGTCCAAGAACAATCCTTTTAAGTAAAATGGGCACTCAGAACTTCAGTGTTTTAAAATCAGATGCACCTCATGTATCACACAGGTCAGGAAAGCTCTCTTTCATTTAAAACTGAGGCTCGCAGTTGCATAGCTACAAAATGAATGTAATAAATATTCTAGCAGCACAGTTTGCCTTGGAATGGGCAGAGTAGTGTCTGCATTTCCATTATAAATCCATTATAAAGGGAGCAATTTTTCATACTGAAATCTGTCCATAAATATAGCTGTGACTGCAATCGAGTACGTACCTGATACAAAATTCAAACGTTTGCTTGATGGAACTTGAAGACAAAGAACTATTTAGACAGATACAACATTACTTCAATTTATTAAGCCATAGAATTAGAGTGATTGCTGTTTAATGTTTTTGTAATATTTCAATTTTATTTTTATTGTATATATATATATATTTTATTTATTTTTCATTTAATAATATACATTCACACCATTATTATACACTTTACCTCCCTGCCTCTTTAGAGCCTATCGACTTCCAGTCGTAATATTTGAATTTTTAGCAAGTTAATAGGACTTTCCTTGTTCCTTTTTCTCTACGTTCACAGGAAGTTGGGTTCATACATAACACTAAGCCACATTATGGCTTGGAGTGAATGAGTACGCATGCTGGTGCTTAGTGAGAAATTTGTGACTGCCTTTCTCCTCTCCCCCCTTTGTGATTGCCAGGTGCTAAGCCATTGTTTAGCTTAGCACTATGCCCAAACCTGGGCTTGTGGTTTATGTCATTTCAAACAAACTATGGGCTGCAAATAAGGTTTGTTCTTGACTTAATGTTCATGGTTTAATCGGAAGACACAAACTATAAAATATACATATGAAGATCTAACCAGCCAAACTATAAGGAGAATTATGGGACCCAGGGAGAAAAATGGGCACATGGAGTGAGGTTGCAGTTGATGATATAAAGAAAGCAGGCAAAACAGTACAAAGGATCTAACTTTGTATGGCTTCAGATTTATTATATATTTATACCCTGCCTTTGTTCCTGACAGGACTCAGGGCGGCTTATGCATAAAAACAAGAACCACTAAAAATATAGAAAAATCCATCATTAAAATACAAAATAGAATTAAAGCTATGTATCACATCTGTTTAAAACATACCAATAATTACAATAAGGCACTAGCCCTTTAATTAAAAACAGTCAGTTCATAGAAGCCTGTTGGAACAAGGTCTTCACTTGCTGATAGGACAGCAAGGAGGAACCCAATTAACTTCTCTCCTGTGTCCCCACCAAGTGTGCCTGTGAGGATGGTGGGACCAGTGCTTTTTTTCCTAGAAAAAGATGTGCTGGAACTGAGTTCCAGTGAGTTCTGGCTGAAAAAAAGCACTGGGTGGGACCAAGAGAAGGACCATCCTTGAAGATCCCAAAGCATGGGCAGGTTTGTATGAGGGAATTCGGTCTTTCAGATAGCTAGGACCTAAGCTCATCATCATGAAGCTGTATTGAATGAGGCCATTTAGCTCAGTTCCTAAATGAGAAACTAAATACAGAAAATTGAATATACACTATTATCTGTTGCTCTTAAAATGCCAACCATAAGCTCCATCAGATTTTCTATTTCTAGTGACTGGAAGCAGTTACATCTCTCAGGTGTAATTTCATTACATTGTTCATAAAAACACTATTAAGTAACACCCAATCAACCTTATGCATAGCAGTTATACAGAAGATTCCCCTGGTAGTTAGTGGGATTGCTGTGATGCTCAGTATGCTCAACAGTTTCTGTTAAAATCAATTCGCTATCTTAACTGCCACAGTATGGCATTCATTGGAGAAGTAGGATATACATATGTGAAAGGTATACAAACAGGAGGAGGTGTGGTAGTTGGTGGATATTAAAATGAGGGCAGGAGGGACAGGAGTGTTGGGTAGGAGATAAAGAGGATAGGAGAAGAGGTGCCTCTTCTACAGTGCATTTTGCCTGCTTCTGTTTAGCTCAACACAGCTTATAGAGTTTCAGGGAAGTGCCTGAAGGGAAAAGGCTGGGGCCTTCTGAGGCAGTGGATAGGGACCCACTACCACAGCTGGCCCTGGGCCTGTAGGTCCCCATTAACTTTTTTGTGGCTCAGCACAGGCTCAGGACTGTCATTGGAATTTCCCCACAATGCAGTGCTGTTGCATAATTCATGGGCACTGCATTGTGGATAAATCAAAGTAAGTGTGATTGCACTGGCATGGGCCCAGCATGGTCGTCAGCACTGATACTGCATTCTGGTGAAATTCAAATGCCAGTGAGACCAGCCATGTGAGCTCACCACTGGACCATCTCCACCAGCTATACCCTTAAAGTGAGGGACCAACTACAGTTGAGGGATCCACTCCTGAAACCTGATGCCAGCCCTGTATATTTTGGAAATTGTAGGCCAGGAGTCACCACCCATTTTTGACCAGTGACCATGATTGGAATTTTGAGGAAGTGCTGTGGGTGCTAGTCACAAAACGCTGCTGTGGCATAACACAAAATGGTTGCTACATCTAAACAAATAAGACTACCACAAAATGGTGTGGGCATGCCCACCCCTATCAGCCACCCCATCAATGCAAAAAAGGCATCTACAGCAGCCATTGTCATGTTCTCTCACAGAGGGAAGCTCTTTGCACCAATCCTGTTCAGAATAGAAGGAAGGCTGGGTTTCGAAGTGTAAAAGGGATGTGCTCAGTGTAGAAGAGGCTAAGCCAGTACAAACAGGAACTCAGCAGGAAAAAGAAATAAGTCTCCCATGCATTGTGGATTTTTAAGAAGATTTATACTGAGGCTCCACATGAAGTACTGGTAGCTGCAGGCATTATGCTGGTGATACTACTGCATGCCATTTAAGCACAAGGATCAATATTGTCTTATTTGTTATTCTGGGATAGGTCAGTCAGTAGAGCATGAGATACTTATTCTCAGCATTGTGGGCTCAAGCCCCACATTGGACAAAAAGATTCCTTCATTGCAGAGGGTTGGGCCTAGATGACGCTAGTGGTCCCTTCCAACTCTAAATTTCTATGATTCCTCTTAAGGGAAATAGCAAAAGAAAAGAAAGAAAATGATAAGTTACTCCAAATGAGGTCCTGGTCTGAAAGTGAACCGACAGATACTGTGAGCATGTTAAATATTCTTCATATGGGCTGTGAAAGTCTCACACAGCTGGCTGAATTTGTATGTAAAATAATTTAATAAAATGGCTCTTACTAAGTTTTTTCTAGATAACGAAGCACTGTTTTAAAAAATAATAATCCATAAACACAGTTCCTGAGACTTAGTTGTTTATTTTGTCTTTGTGGTGCATGGAATGCATACACAATTCATGATAAGACATATTTACCACCATTTTATATACCTAAGTAGAAAGTAAGTGTGTCGTGCTCCCACTAAAACAGAACTATATTTCTTCGTTTGAGGAGGCTAGCTTCCCATTCTGAAAAAGAACCATGCCCCATATTGGATTCTGTTTGCCTTTGTATGTTGGAGTTAGCACTCAGATGTGTACTTAACTGACAGATCTTGGCTGATTCCTATTCTGTGTACACATTACCTCTTGTATATA